AGGAAAACTGGTCGTAAGCTTCGATAAAAGAAATTTGATTGATTTTAATTCCGTTTATCTTTGTTTATGACGAAATCACAATCACGTGTAAAATTGCTATGACTGAAAATAATAATTTCATCAAATGAATATGATTTAAAAGTAGCAATAATTTCCATGTCTACTCGAAAGTGTCGACTCGTGAAATTTTTCAAAACCGTCCCGTTCAAACATTCTCAGGCAAAATCTAGCATTTAATAAAATAACACAGTTCAACACACGCAACTAAAATATAATAGGCTTTTAACATAATTAAATCAATATTAGAAGTAATATCTGCAAAATCTGTGAATCTTAACCATCTACGTTATTATAATGTTGTTCGTTGTAACTTTTGTACACTACAAATTTATAAGCACAGATTTATGTCGAGAACAAATTATACAACACAATTAAGTAGTTAAGTTTACGCTAACCACTTTACGACAGTCTGTGGAAATCGAGGCATGTGTTTCTTAAATAAATTGTTACTTTTACTACACTTTCCTGTATTAAATAATCTCAGCATACCCTGGTTAGGCTTAGTAAGAGCGCCTTAAAAATTAAATTGTTAATTTGTAATTGGTACAGCAAATTTCTGTACAAAGTTGCTGGATAACAAAACATTAATAAGCTTGTAAATGTTATACGTTCGTAGTTACCAGAAACCTCTGACTGAACTGAAACAATAGTGAATAATATAACACAGCACAAAAGCACTTCACAAAATTCGGTTCGCTTGTGGTTACCGAAATATCTGTGTAAAGATGATTACAACTCTGACCACCACCTCGGGGATTTACAAGCGTGATTATATATAATATCATAAAAAAGATTACATTAAATTACTCACTAAGCACTAACTCTACGGTACGTCTTAAATAAAGCTCTCGAAAACGCATGTCCAAGCATAAACCACGGGACAGCCGACTTAACGCCATATCGAGTGGTCATTTCCATCAAAATAGCGCCATTATGTCGCGGCAAGTCTTCACAGATAGTTTCATGGCTATAAATGTCTTATTATAATATGTATGTATTTACAAAAATTAAGTATATATGTATTTATATCCGTCCGTGTGGTGACGGATTAAGAATACAGAGTGTCACCACCCCGTATTGTATATTGTATTCATCCCGTGGGTGCCGTAAGAGCCGACTAAGGGAAAAAACTAAGCAGGACAACAGCACTGCAGAGAGAAGGAAAACTTGACACAAACCCTTTACCAACCCGTCTGGCTAGCGTGGTATAGTAGGCCAAAACCTCCTTTCTCAGGAGAGGCTTATGTCCAGCAGTGGACTATTAAAGGTTGTTGATGATGATGATGTATTTATATCAGTTGTCTAGTAGCCATAGTACAAGCTCTGCTTAGTTTGGGACTAGATGGCGTTGTGTGAATGTAGTATAATATTATATTATTTTTACATTATAATTAGAACTACAGTGAACACTAGAGCATGTGTGGTCTAAACGACCTGATCATTATATGGTGCTTAAATCGGGTACTCTAATACGCCGTTTAAAATTTCACAGTCTTACACATACAACACAAAAAAGTTAGCTGCTTTTGGTGAAACTGCGTTTCGATTATATCGGGCTTGTGTTAGGTGTGACAAATTAAGGACAAGTTGCCGTAGTAATTATGTCAGTACCCGACTTGAGAAATATATATATCACATTGACATACATGGCGGTACAAAGCATACTCTCATGAACATGTATTACTTGTCAGCCATCATAGTTTCACCGACAGTTTTTTATTTATATCACAATCTAAGTTTTTTAAGTAAGGTCTCAAATATTTTTACATACAGGCAACAACGCGCGGGAAGCCGAGGCTAAGTTGACCATGGTATAAAAAGCAGTACCTAATGTAAAAAAGTTTTAGAAAAGTGTTAAAAAGGGTAAAAATAAAGGATATATAATGGATTAATATACGATTATGTTCGAAATTTGTCCCAAAAAGCATACTAAGCGAAAATGTTTATAATTAATATTCTAACGTACATATTACAGAGCGGTACCTAGATCCTAATGTAAGTATAGTTTACATACTCAGAGCCAGTGTATGTTGTATTGAAAAGATAAAACAAAAGTAACTAAGTACTGCCTAACATAGACAATTCAAGACTTGGAACTGTTCAAATATTCAATGTTTCTTAGACTCAACGTAACATATAAGTAAAGGCGATTCGCAGAACAATTTCTCGCAACGGACACCGGATTGACTGTCCCCAAACAGAATTGACACTAAAACCTAACAAGATATGGTTGAATTTCATAACTAAACAGTAATATGATGCAAATGATGTAGATTAAACTGAAATTGGTCTTATACGCTGTTTTAGTTGAGATTTATAAGTGACAAGTGTGTCCAGTGACCCCACTCGTCTGGCAATGAAACTGGACTACTGGACAATTGGTCATTAATTGGCTTGTGTTTATAGAATTGAAGACGAGCGCTGTTTATTCAACATAGCAACATGTGGGATAGCACATGTGTGAATGTTTTATGAAAATATATTATAGGGTCTTTTTTAGCAGGGGCGCGCTTTTTTACTATAACTGTGCTACGTCAATGCCGCTTGTTTACTTCAAGTGAGTAAAAGGGGGTTCCCATTCCATAATTTCAAGCGCGTATTGATCGACTGAGAACTTAAATGGTATTGTACGTATCAGTACAGTAACACATGTCAAACTTAAAATTCAGAATGTTTTTTTTTATAACAAATACGTCATTTAAGCTTACTTTGTTTTTCTTTAAAAAGACAAACGCCGCACTAGGAATATTGCCTATGTCACGGGGGACTTAAAAGGTATACATATAGCACAAAGAACACCCAGACTCAAAACAATTTGTGAATCACACAAAGTTTTGTCTCATGTGGAGATCGAACCCACAACACTCAGTGCAATAGGAAGGGGCGAGGTGACCTCTTAAACCACTACACCATCCGTGCCATATTACATATGATATATTAGACTAAAACTATTACATTAAAAAGAACAACTATAAAGTGATAATCCAAATATTAAACAAACAACACATCAATATTTAGGCACTAAAATCAACATAAGTCGATAATCGACACAGTTTGACCTCTCAGATGAGTTCGAAAACTGGTCCCAGTGGAAACTATTTAGAACAATATTTGATCTGTGCCCTAAAATGTTTGTTTAATAGTTGAGTAAATCGTTTTTACTAGGTATATTATGGATACAAAATAACGATTTACGAATACGATTACGTTGCGGACAACAACAACACTATGTTATTATTTTCTTTCTTTATCGCTTAAAGTTCTAAAAGCGCTTTAGAATATAATGATTGAAAAATATTTTGTTGTATGTTGCCTAAATAATCTTGCGTTAAAATATGTTTTTATACCTAATGAATACAGTAAAAAAATAAATTTTAACACTTTTTCCCAAACCACGTTGTAAATAAACAAAATATATTCTTAAAATACGCCATATAAAATCAAATCACACAGCAAATTTAAGTTGAATTACGCCTTGCACCCACAGGCTGCATACTAAGCGAGTTACAATTTCCAAATCCAAAAGAACTTTCCCTCAAAATTGAGAATTTATATACATATTGTCCCTTTCTAAACTGTAAAATGTCAGTGCTGGAGGCTGATCAATATTCAAACTGTCCCGAGCTAGTCCCGACCACAGAAATCGTGTAGAGATGCATCGAATACCAACTATATGTCCGCTGGCATTTGTATTCACCCGTTCAGTGTAAGCGAACACGCTGCCTAGATTGTGTACAGAATTAAACTGTTCTTTCTTATCTCTAAATCTAGGATATTTCGACTTTTTTTCATTGTAGCACAGAACACAGTCGGACAGCTTATCGATGGTCAGGATTAATGGGACATAATTATAAGTAAAGACAGAACTAGTTCCATAGACAAGGAAATAATATGATAAGGCGCATTGTTTGATAAAGCTTCTATTTAACTTTCTATAGAGGATCTACATTCTATAGATGATCATAGTTTTAAGCTTTAAACGTCAATTTACATGTTATTACATCCTAATATTTTTTAATCTTCAACTTTCATTAAAACTTATTAAAAATGTAGTAGGTATGTGATTTACATTTTTCGTCGTCGTAGATTTCCAGAGTAACAAATGTACAAACGAATTCAATGATCTGTTTAAACAAATTGAAATTAAATGCGCTAAATCTCTTGTGAATCAGATCAGAGCACCTAATTTAAATTCTACAAGCCAATGCAATGAGGTAAAAATTAGTAGGTAGGTATCTTATTGTTTATGAATAGGTCCGGTCGTACGAGCGCGAGTCCCAAAGCTATGATTGACTCCTCAAACATCTCTTGTCGATGAGATTCGATCATTGTTCGAAACAATACAATTGAATTGAATGTACCTACCTACTGAGTGATATCGAAACAAATTAATTGAACAGTTTAAGGGCAATGTTTTTTGGAAGAAAAAGAAAAGTAATGAAATCTCGAATGATAGCTTAAGCGACGGTGAACAGTGAAAGATAAGCATTACTTAATGGTTTCTAAAATATATTTCATCACCTTGTTAGATTTCTGTGCTTAATAGGATTTAGTGATACGTGTAATAGCATAAATAAATTATAACTATACTACATCGAAGCATTGATAAACTACAATTAATAAGAATACACACTGATTGTCAACAGAGCTGAAAGTGAGTCGATGAAATAATACGATATCGGGTGACGAGTCGAGTTTAACGTCAACAAACGCTGTACAATTAAAAAATATTAAAAAATGCGATGCGTTGAATTCACTCCAGTTTTTAAAACGACTCGTTTCACAAGTCCCTACTGTGAGAACCGACCGGTAACCCGACCCATTGCAAGCGGCAACGTTCCACCGAAAGCTCCATAAGTTTAAGCGCCAACGTAACTCGGCCGCGCTACCTTGCAGACCGCGCTTTCATAAGCTCGACTACTTGTATAACTAGCACTTACCTTCGACACCATCGATCCTTGTGGCCAATGTCGATAGTAATACGAAGAATGAGAGCAATTGAATCCCATAATCCGGTATAAAGTTCCTCGACCACATTTTGTAACACAACATTCACACATGGATCACACACATTTGTTTTACTCCTTTTATGTCGTTGAACACAAAATAATCAACACTCACGGAACTAAATGTAAGAACTGACACTTCATTTTGTTTTTGAACTGTTGTTACGTCGAAAACATTTGTTTATTGGACATTTTAGCGGTAAAACACGTTCGAAAAAACGTCAAGCCCGGTAGGAACATGCGCAGCCGCGTCCCGCTCGCATCTGACGGCTTTGTCCGTAAATACACAGTGTACGGTAAATCAAAATGGCCGACGGCTTGTTGGTGTGCGTAAGCGCATCTTGTAACAATACATTTTAACAAATCTAGGCTCTTACAATGATCTAAAGCAGTAGTATTATCTATTCGATGTTATATTACAACTAATTTAAGTTATGAATAATAACATTTTAGCGTAAAACCCCGTGAGAACAGTATCACTCACACATAGAAACGTACGCGGAGGAATGTTGATTCAATGGAGAAATCAAGCGATTCAACAGCGCTGAGTGCGCGCAGCCAATGAAAAGCTTTTGAACTTTGTCGTTTACCCACCTCTACACAGATGGCGTGGTCCTCCATTTCCCAATAGGGGTGGTATTTATTTTAGGGATATATTGTTAGCATTTTAACCAAGATTTTGGCATATTTTTATTTTTATAGCTGTTATAATGGACAAGGACACAATCTCCTTATGTAAAACTTTTATTCCGCTAACAGAGTTTGATCAATAATACGTTACCAAAGAAACATCAGTGCATACGAAGCCATAATAACATTAACTGGTTGTTAGAAGTTAAATATTTACACAATGGCGACTTGTTATCAAAAACATCCCTTCGAAATAGAATCAGAAGATCGATTGACTACTATAAACACTAAAATATTTGAGATCAAAAAGAAGATACAATTGTCAGGTGGGTTCGTACACGTGTAAAAATTATTATTTTAAGTACAGTCGAAGTAAAATAATTAACTACCAAGTCCTTATATTTCTTCTGAAAACGTCCTTTGAAAATGACATCTTTCCATTCTTGAGAAGCGAGCACTAGCATCCATGTGTCTGTCTGAGTCTGTTGTTGGCATCCTAGCTCCTAAACGCACGGACCGATTTCGATGTAGTTTGTTTTTGCTTAAATTGCGACTGGATTTAGATAACGTTATTATTTTTACTGTTATTTTGTTTAGTTTTCTGTTCGTTACTTCAGCCATTATGAGGTCAACTCTTTTCTAATCGATGCAAGGGTTTTTGAGCTGGGGCTGAAGTTGCTTAGTTATTGCACTTAAATGGTGCATCTTCTGTGAGATGTAAAAGTACCCATTTCTAATCGCTGCATCTATATAAAGTTGGTAGTAGGTACGTTAAATATTCGAGTTGCCGGTTTTATATTTATTCATTAACTGAATAAATTAGGCGATCAATACGTATCCCTATACGAGGCCGAGAACGCCAATTCTCGTAATAAAAGTTCGGTCACAATTTAGTTCCGATCAACTGTCAATCTCACAACTGTCACAAAAGGTATTTTTGTAGTAAAGTATTAAACATCTAACGTTGACTGTAATGTGATTATATCGCATTGTAACTGAAAATTAAATCAGTAATCTGTTAGTCTTAGTAATACTTAGGTACAGTTGCAAGATTGATAGTTCTATTATTATTTTTCTATTTAAAAAAGACAACTCCTGCACTAGGAAAGTATCCTGTGTCGCGGGGGACTTTACAAACACACATGAAACGGACACAAAGAACACCCAGACTCAGTACAATAATTTTGTGGATCACACAAAGTGATGTCCCATGTAGGGATCGAACCCATAAATAACACTTTAGCGCAGTAGGAAGTGGCGAGGTGACCGCTTACACCACTACGCCATTGAAAAATAAAAGAAAGCCGGGAAAGGTTGTTAAAATATCATTCTGTTAATAAATAATTGTTATAACTGATTAAAAAAAGAAAACATCTCAGTTTTGTAAAAGTCCAAAACTCTGTTTCCAGAGGGTCAAAGAAAATCAAACTACGAAGAAAACGAGGCTGAGAAACAACAGAACAATGAACTCATAGATTCTCTGAAGAAGGAAGTTAAACAGCGGTTGGCTGAACTTGCGCAAGCAAAAGCAGTAATAGGAGAGGATGAAGTCCAAATCAAGAAGTATCTCAATGAAGTCTGTCCGATGGGCAACAAGAATTCCGAACAGGTATAGACTAAATTCGTTTTAAAAATATGGGGATTTACGACAGAACGAAAACACTTATTTATTATCCGTAGTCTGTTTGTGATTCTCTTTCTTAGAAAAGAGGGAAGTTATTTAATTAAATCTAATATCAAAAGTAACACAAATATTAATCAAAATAAAACCCAAGAATATGGTCATTAAGGACACATATCTTAACGTTTCACAACTGAATTCAAAACTAAAAACGCACTTCCAATTGACCTAGAATCGTGATTTGGCGAAATACAAGGTCGCACAGTACAAATATACAAAAAGTCCGAAAGGCGTCATGCCACATTTTTTATAAGATACCAAACTTAAATATTGCGATTAGAAAATTGACTGTTGCGTACTTTCATCCGTGTGGTGACGGGTTAAGAATACAGAGTGTCACCACCCCTATTCGTCCCGCGGGTGTCGTAAGAGCCGACTAAGGGAGCAAACCACGCAGGACAACAGCACTGCAGAGAGAAGGAAAACTTGACACAAACCCTATACCAACCCGTCTGGCCAGCGTGGTATAGTAGGCCAAAACCCCCTTTCTAAGAAGAGGCCTATGTTCAGCAGTGGACTATTAAAGGCTGTTGATGTGTGTTGATGTACTTTCATGCATGAAAGAGTATTTTTCAAACGACAAGCTCACTCGGCAAGAAGTTAATTATATTATTTAAAATAAAAAAAACAACAAAAACGCGACTGCGTGAAAATGTATACTTAAAATTTACAAACCGACGACTTTTATTTTCATAATTTTAATTTACCTTGTGTCACTCTCGCTATTAAGACCAATCTAACAAGACCTCAAACGCCAAAGTAAATCAAGCCGTACAGGTTACAGAGCTACATACAAGCATTTACTCGAAACACATAACCCTCCTTCAGGTGCAATCGAGTAAAAAGGGTAAAAGTCTTTGTGAAATCACTTACAAGGTAAATGAATTGTCTACTAACTCGTTTACCCCTCGGTACAAATAACCCTCATTAACCGAGCCAGATTCAACTTTGACCGTTTTATTATTACTTTTTGTCAACAAACAAACGAACGATGCGTATGGCAATCGGTAATTTGCCTCAAAAAAATAATCTCACACGGGATGTCAGGTTTGTGTTAACACAGTCAAAACTATTTCATTATTAACGCTCTATTCAGAATAAATTAAGATACTAGAGTACTGGCGCTTTAATACGTGTAAGGTACTTTCAGAACTGTCGGACGACCTAGACAGTTATTTTTACACAACTCTAAGAACTAAGAACATATCTTGTGCCGCAGGGGACTTTACAAACACACATTAAACGAACATAAAGGAACACCCAGACACAAAACAATAATTTGTGATCACACAAAGTGTTGTTCCATGTGGGGAACGAACTGCGAAACAGTGAATTGAAACCCTGATGATCGCTTACCCATACGTGACCATATTCCTCGGTGACTATATGCCAAAACAATTTTTTTCCAGATAATACATAATCTAGACTTAAAGGTGATAGAACAGAGGAAGATGTTAGACGTTTTAAAATACGAGAAGGGAAGTAAGAAAAAAAAACTGTCACTTTTAGAGAAGGAGTACGAATACCTACTTATAGAAGCTAACAAGGGTATATTAGTGAAGTCTAAAAACAATAGCCGAGCTAGAAAAGTAAGTGGATCTTCTGTTACAAAATTTTACATTTACATCATTATTAACCGACTTCAAAAAAGGAGGAGCTTATCAATTCGACTGTATTTTTTTTCTTTTTTATGTTTGTTACCTCAGAACTTTTGACTAGGTAAACCGATTTTAAAGATTCTTTTTTTATTAGAAAGCTGGTGCTTCCCGTGTGGTCCCGTTTTTTGTTGAATGAAGTTTAATGTTTCAGCCGAACGTCGTGTCGAAAAAGTTTTTCACAACTCATTTACATCATTGTTTTTTGGAGCCGTCCACTGTTTTATCACTATCACGTAGTACATGAAATATAAACAAACAAACCTTTTTTTATACATAATAAAGTTAACAAAAAGTTAAGCACATGTCATTATTTGCTTTACAGAACGTATCGCATTTGGAAAATGAAATTCACAAAGTCTTGATCCAGTGGACCGAAGCTGAGCTAGTCAAGAAGAAGTATATGTCGATTAGGTAATAATTATAGTATCTGAGGTATTTTCGAACCGATACGACCTTCAAACCTTCAAGAAAAGAGCGTACTCCTTCCTAAAAGGTCGGCGACGCGTTTGTGACTCCTTAGTTGCAGACGTTCATGGGTGGCGGTAGTTACTTTCCATCAGGTCTGCTCGTTTGGCAACCCTTTCATAAAAAGTAATAATTAAAAATACCAAAATATTGTCCTATTGCCCCTTTATTGTCCTAATTGCGGTTAGTGGTATTGGCACGTAGTTGATGACAATGAAAAATTTCAGTTATAGCATGTCATCCGAATAAGCAATGCCTGTTCTTCTATTGCCATCCCTTCTTATCTTCTTGTTCTGTTAGCATACTCTCCGATTTTCCTATGCAGTCAATGAAGTGCCTGGTCAGCGCAAATAGGCTTGCGTCTTATAACGTATGTTACGCTAAAATTAATACACCTCTGCGTATTCCTTCGGGGAATTAAAAAAAATTTTTTTTAATAAAAATTAATTATTAATAAAATAAAATTATAATTATTCTGTTTTTTGTTGATTTGAAGTATACTAACATATCTACTATTCTTTTCTACAGACAAGCCCTAATTGATGACTCAGTGAAATTTGAAAGCTCACTCACACATATAGAAAGTATTTTACAAAAACAAAAGGAGGAAATTGACAAACTAGACGTAAGTACGCTTGAAATATGCGATGCAAGTAAAGATTTTCGGAATAGATTTCATTTTATTTATTCAAATACTCATAGATCAGGTACATTAGAAAAAAAATCGACGAATCTTTGTATAATTTTTAATCATCTCATCTATGGCCTTATTGTAATATCGGGCACAGTAAATTAAACAAGCTATACTTAACTAGGTTCACATTTTTGAGTTTACTGAAAAAAAAAAATACTTTTAGAGAGTCCGAGAAGAAGCAGCAGAGATGCGCTTGCGTGCGACAGCAGCTACCGCCGCTGAGGCTGCGCGTGCTCATGACGCCGAACACTCGCGAGTGGCCGATCGCGCCTACTTCACACAACGTTTCGCTGAAAGGAAACGAGAACTTGAGAAATTAGAGAAGAGAGTATTTCCTCCACAGGGTGAGATTTATTACCAAAACCGTCTGCCTGCCTGTTATTAAAATGAGTTGTTGAGTTTTCCAAATTTTTACGTTCAGTCATTTATACAAACCGCAGATTCTGGTATTTGTTATTCCAAAGGACCACGCAGTGCCGGATTAAGCCAGCGGGGGGCCTGCAGCTAATTCTATCAAGGGGCTCAGGGATTGTTTTAGGTTATCAAGTTTATGGTATTAAATATGATTTAGTTTGGGTATATTTACAAACTATACTGTTCATATCGACTTCTCTAGTGGCTTGCAAACATTCTAGGATTCCATTTCACAATATTGTCAATATTCTCGTTTTCAATTTACTTATCTTTGAAAATATGTTTGCGGGACGCAGGGCAGGGGCACGCTCAAACAATTAGCTAGTATGCAGTGTTTTTAACCGAGGAGATTTTCCACTAAACCTGGTGGTTTTCACCCCCATTTTAGTGGCAAAATTTTGCTTTTAGTGGCTAGTGGATTTTTTTAGTAGTTTAGTAGTAATGGTAAGATTGTAGTGGACTTAGGAAATGCTGTTGAAAGATGAACTGTGAGACCTGTTTGTGTACGCAAATGTTAAGAACGTTTCATAGGAAAGGAAGGATGGGTATTGAATAAAAGTGCTCAGGAAGAGGACGATTAATAATTTTAGGTAATGGGATGATATAGACTTTGTGCCAGAGATAGAAAAAGGTTTTAGAATCAAGAAAGAAGTCAATAATGTGGGCTATAACTTCGAGAATGTAATCAAGGGTGGTAACTATCATCCTAAGGCTTGCAAACCAACAAACAGACGGGACAATCTTTTTGATGTCCCCCGAGAGCACAGGAGAAAATTCAAAGTTTACAATATTGGGTCTCGGCAGACAAGTAATAAAATTCAGGGTCCGTCATACTATGTTTAAAGATCTTGTTGAATAGCATAAGAGAAATGAATGTTGATATCATTAAAACCAATGAAACTCGGTCCGTAGTTGTCTACCAATGCCCAACTTGTTAAGGGACTTTCACATACTAGAGATATTGCTCTTCAAAGACATTTGACGAATTAGCAACGTTTGATATTAATCTCTTAATACTGCCTCATTTCAATGCCATGTTGAGTGGAGGAACACAATTAAGTTAAATCTTTTATCTGCTATGTTAAGAATACGCTGTAGTTTGAAGTTGGAAAGAGAATGCTGCAACAAATATAAAATTCCAATAAACGTTGTATTACAAATCGGTACCAAAGAATCGAATTAATCTGGAATCGACGATGATGGTGCTGACAAAAACAATTAGTATCAGTATTAAATTTTAATAAAGGAAACAAGTTATCGATATCCTTATGGTTTTCTATCGAAATTACTATAAAAATGTTTAGTGGTAAATTTTGTGCCTGTTAGAGTAGGGTCGTTTTCCCTTGGTGGTTTTAAATGTTGAATCTGGTGGAGAATTCACTTAACTGTTGGCAACACTGCTAGTGTGTAACTGTCCGTGGGCAGTGACTGATATGAAACGTACATAGTTGTATGTGTTATTTTTCTTAAGACATCACACGGTATTATTTTGCAACATGCACAAAAAAATTCAAGAACATTTGGATTAATTTTAATTTTTTTAATAAACGTTTCTTTTTATTTTCTTTATTTCAAGTTACTTGATTAATATACAATAGCAGTTGTCGATTATCCTTGTGGTGTCGGATTAAGAATACGGAGTATCACCACCCCTATTCATCCCGTGGGTGTCGTAAGAGCTGACTAAGGGAGCAAAGGACAGGACAACAGCACTGCAAAGAGAAGAAAAACTTAAAATAAAACCTATAACAACCCTATAAATGATGCCTACCAATGAGTACCTACTCTGTGAACAATATTGAAAAACGAATCAAACATCATGAAGAAAATTGAAAATGGTCAAAAAAAAACTTAAACCTTTACAAGTGGAATATTTCCTTACAAAATCCGACTAAGTCTAAAACCTTATAACTCGAATTATTTAGTTCGGCTTACAGAGGTTTTATTGTTAAAGTTCTAATAAAGAATATTTATTATTTTACTTCATTTTTAAATTGGATCTGAATATAATTTACGTGATCAAGATAAGGTGATTTTATTAAAATTATTTTACAAGTATTAACATTTTAGTTAGTTTCACGTTGGTTTGTTTGTAAAAACGGTAACTTGAAGGGGGTAACACAATGTTATACGCTAACATTGTGTTACTATACCGTTCATTCGACCATTATAAAACTTTACATACACTTTGCTAATCATAGAACACAGGATATTTGAAACTAGAAACGTTAATGATTATTTACCTAGACATTAGCTGCAGAACGAATAATGGCATTTAATATAATGATTTTATTTAGATTTGTGACTCCCATAAACTAGTTACTATGGGGTAGACATAGAACTTATTTCTACTTTTAAATCAGATTCATTTGATGAAATGATTCGTTTTTATCACAATGATTTCACATGTGATTGTGCTTTCGTCATAAACAACGCATTTCTATTTTTTCTATTTATTCTTTTCGGACATCAAACACACAACGCCATCTAGTTTCAAACTAAGCAGTGCTTCTACTATGAAAGCTAGATTGACTGATAGAATACTTATATACCTTTTGTTTGTAAATATATACACATTATGAATAGGAATCACCCAAACTACGAAACAAATATTTGCAGATCATACAAACATTTGGTCCGACCCGGGAATCGAACCCAAGACCTCAGCGCAGCAGTCGCATACGCTACCATTGCGCCATCGAGGCAGTTAAATCAATCAAAATTCTTTTTATCAAAGATTACGAACTTTTTTTAGATTTTAACGCTAGCTTAATAATAATAATTAAATAGCAGTGGCTTTGTAAATAAGTCACAGGTGTGTTGATATGATTTATGATTTTATGTATATTATAAATTGTGATTGGGATTTTATTCCATTTCTACTATGAGGGTGTCATGCTTGGTCCTCCGCAAGGAGCCAACGCCTGAGTGCCACCACTGCGATGGCCAGACCGTGGACACGGCTCTCCACACGCTGGCAGAGTGCCCGGCGTGGGTTGAGCAGAGGCGAGACCTCGTGGCGGCCGTGCGGAGCGAGAGTGCGTGGAACTCTGCCGTCTCCTTCTGCGAGCAAGTTATGCTCGCGAAGGAGACGGCGGAACGGGACCGGGAGAGGTTTAGAACTCTCCTGGCCCGCCAGGCCCGGGCACGGGCCAGGCAGCGCAGGCGACTCAGGCGCCGGAGGTCGCAGAACGACCTCCGTCCTCCATAAGCGCAGGCCTGGGGGTGACAGGTGAGGCCATCTGTCACCCTAGCAGAAGCAGGCCGGGGTGGCGGCGAGCGCGTTGCGAAGCGCGCTCGCTTCCAGGGAGCACAGGGAACATGGGGTTCCCACACGGGGGGGGGGTCGTCTACTCGTCTGTAGATGACCCGAGGTATGTCGGGGCACCAGGGACTTCCTTTCTAGGGTATACCTGGTTCCCCGGCTATTAGTACCCGGCGACGGCGTGCGGTTTTAGTCGGTTCGAGTCCGACATGCCACCGACAGGTGGTATCCGAGGGGATTTCCGCACGGAAAAAAAAAAAAAAAAAGGGTGTCATGCTTCGGCACAAATAGGCCGGCTCGACCGGAATAATACCACGGTCTCACAGAAAGCAACTAATTCATGCATGTGCACATGAGCGCCACTAGCCACTTACATCACTTACACTTACATCATCAGGTGTCCCGTCGGCTCGTTTACTTCGATCCCATAAACAATCTAGCTCTCCTCAAGTTATTTAAACGAGCTTAATTTATTATTGATAACTTTCGGCAACGTTTATTGAAAAGATTTTTGCAGTTATCACTATTCTTAAACAACGTTTTAATTGAAAATAAGCGAAATTATCTAAATTGTTTCCTCTTAATTTGTATCATTATTTCAGTTCGTCCAGTGGTACGCCAGGAATCCACCAGGTCTACAGAAGGTGAAGCCGCGGCAGAAGAGTTAACTGCAGCGCAGCAAATGGAAGATATATTCCAGAAACTTATGAAGCTAACTGGTGAATCCTTTCCCTTAGTACATATTTTGCTCTAGAACAATAATTCTCTGCCAAGTATTTAGCTAAGGAGAAGGCTAAGGAGAATAAATAGAGAAATTTGAGCGAAAGAATTGTTGAATGATACTGCTTGTGTGATACTATACGCCTTATTACTTCTAATTTTAATTTACCCCCGACGGAACACGAGAGGTGCTTTAAGTTTAACCTGTCTGTCTATCTGTGGCATCATAGCTCCTGAACGGATGGACCAATTTTGATGTGAATTTTTATTCGAAAGCCGATCTTTTCGAGATGGTTCTTAGCTATAAATTTTAAAAACCATCAACTCACTTCCCAAGTGATGAAGGGATCTCACTAAAATCCACAGGTCCGATTGATCAGAAATTTGGTATACATACTGTTACTTTGATGGTATTTCCACGACATGGCAACCTGGAACTTGCTGCTTCATCAGGTAGTCTGCGGGATAGCCAACTCAAAATATATATATACCATGTTTGGCCTTATTAGAACGTTACGAATAGAAGTTTTTTTTATGTCAGGGGTTTTTTTAGTTTTTAAATTAATTGTTATAATCATAAGTAAACGTTTTTACTGTAGACTATACGTTATACTATCAGACTTTGCCTAAAATAATATGTATATAGAAGCATAAAGGCATGTTATGTTTTGCATATAGGGACTAATCCCACCCACACGCCCACCACTGTAACTCCTGTACACCAGGATCCACATCAGGGACCCACGAACACACCGAGTTATGACACTCGGGAAGACCCAGGAAGAAATAAAACTGTCTCACATATACATATACATAACCTTTTGATATCTACCCCAGGTGTAACAGATGCCGAGGAAATATTCGACAGATTCCAGGCACAGCGAGAGACCTCCCAACGTCTTGCTTACCTTCAGCAGACGACGGAACAAGAGAAATTACAACTGGAACAGACGCAGAATTCTCTCATGACAGAGCTCGAAGCTTTTAAATTTGCTTCTGTCAAGGATAAAGATGAGTGAGTTTTAGAAAGATCTTCTCAATGTTCTTGGCATACGGTTTATATTAGCATGACCTGTATCTATTGAGCTACCTAAGTATCCTAAATACCTAAGTAGTAATGTAGAATACGTGCAATACCTACATGAAACACAAATGTCCCAGCGGCGTTTTCACCTGCAATTTAGACGTAGAATGAGCTCCTTGCTGAGATTCCCCGCAATATTCGTAAGTTTCTTCAAAAAAGGTTTGTTTAGATTTTTAAAGTGTCAGCAGCACCCGTGTCGCTCACTTGGAATAACTAACCCTAGGCTTGGTTTCGACTGCCACTGACGTTGCATAAAAGTCATGAAATCTTATTATATTATTGTATAATAATGTTAATTCCCGAATTCATTTTAACATAACGAGTTCATCCTTCCAACTTAATCTATACTAATACGAGGGGTGATCAATAAGTAATGATAATCGAGTATTTCTAGAACGCACAAAAACCCAAATTATTTTTTTTCTGCTTGCTTATATATCCACTACTTCAGCTTCAAAAAAATGTATAAATAGGACACCATTACCGGGAGATACATTCATTTGAATACGAACTGTCAAAGAGAACACATCAAAATGGAGAAAAATGAAATAAGAGCTGTCATCAAGTACCTCTGCCTGAAAAAAATGTCTACCAAAGACATACACAGCGACTTAGAGGAAACATTGGGGGAGTCTGCGCCTCCATATTCCACAGTCGCACGCTGGGCAAAGGAATTTAAGCTGGGCAGAACCTCCACTGAAGATGAACATCGCGAGGGACGCCCTTCCACGTCCCTTACTGGAGAAAACGTCAAAAAAGTGGAAGATATCGTGTTGGCCGATCGAAGGGTGACCGTAAGGCATGTAGCTGAGGTCACAGGGATCTCCTATGGCAGCGTTCAAAAAATCATTGTCAACAAAATGCATATGAAAAAGGTCTCTGCGCGTTGCGTACCGAGAATGTTAACCGACGAGCAAAAAAAGAAACGAGTCGACATTTCGAGGGTGAATCTTCAAAAGTTCCAGGCCGATAAAGAATTTTTTTTGTCGCGTTTTGTGACCATGGACGAGACCTGGATCCACCACTTTGATCCCGAAACCAAACAACAATCAATGACTTGGAAACGAGCTTCCTCACCAACGCCGAATAAATTCAAAGTGTCAAGTTCAGCGGGAAAGGTTATGGCGTCTGTTTTCTGGGATGCAGAAGGAATTATTATGGTGGAATATTTGGAAAAGGGGGCCACTATAACAGGCTCTTACTACGCAGGCCAAATAAGAAGATTGCGAGAAGCTATTAAGTCAAAAAGACGCGGTAAACTGCGCGCTGGAGTGCTGTTTCACCAAGACAACGCCCCGGCTAACAAAGCCGCAGTTGCGATGGCTGCCATTGAAGAAACGGGGTTCGAACTGCTCGAACACCCTCCCTATTCGCCAGATCTAGCTCCCAGTGACTTCTACCTCTTTCCTCGGCTCAAAGAACACCTCCGGGGCAACAAATTTGAGGATAATAGTGAAGTGATGGCCGCAGTAGAGGCATTTTGGGAGGGTCAAGACAAAGAATTTTTTTCTAAGGGAATCATGGGCTTAGAAAAAAGATACACTAAATGTATTAACTTGCAAGGAGACTATGTTGAAAAATAAAATACTTTTTTTAATCTAATAGTTCTGTTTCATATTGATTATCATTACTTATTGATCACCCCTCGTATTATAAAGAGGTAAATTTTGTGAGTTTGTATGTTCGGGGTAATCTCCTGTACTAAAGATCCGATTTTGTTTTTTTTTTTCACTGTTATAACTCTATTATCAACAAAGTTAACTATATTATCCCGGAGTGCTATAGACTACTTTTTACTGCGACAACCGACATTGACGTGGGCGGAGCCCTGGGCAAAAACTATTATTATATAAATTATAAAGCGAGTTAGATTTCGGCTAAATTCTTAAAAACCGTTATTAGTGATGATTAAGATAATGATAATAGATAAGCATCAGCTTATCTAATACCTATTTAAAATTACAGAGGTCAAGAACAAATCGCAGCGCTGAAAGAAGAAATAGCAGAAGAGGAAAAAGTTTATTTGGAGCTGGAAAAGAAAATGGATGACTTAGAAACTCTGTTGCTGGAGATTAAGAGGTTGTTGTATGAACTCTGCAAGCTGTTGGATGTAAGTACCATCAGGAATGTGACACGGGTGGAACTTACATTGTGGGTTTTGATGTAATTCAGCAACGAACAACTGTTCCCTATTTTTTCTATAAAAGCTCATTCTTAAACATCCTGAGCAAAGCTGGTAGGAACTTATATTTTATTTTTTAATATAGTATTGTAAAGGAAGACATTTCAAACTTAAGTAGATAAACCTTAGAAGGTACCGCCGAGAAGACACGATAAGGTCTGCCGTGTTGCGATTTTTCCTAGGCATTCGGCATAGTCCATCTTAAACTTAGTTCAGTGAAATCCATTGTAATTTTGAGTAATGAACAAAACCCTAAAAATAATTCGTTACTATAGCTTGTCAATTTAAAGACTCCAGGTCTGATTTTAAACCTCAAGAGCAAAACTTTAAATTGAAATGGCGTTGTGTGTCAGATGTCTGAAAACATTATTATTATTTATTTATTTAAAGGCTATCTATGCTATATATATATATTTATGCTAAATATTGTATTTCACATGCCTCTGAGATGAACCCCTCTATAGTTTTAAAAAATCATCAACACTATATACTGTTTTAAACGACCAGCTAACTTCTCCATGTTTAGATAATTCCAGAACCTTCTATGCCAGAATGGACGGCAGAACCTCGTGACGTCCAAGAGCTTGTGATGGTGTTACAAGTACGCTACGATAAAGCCCGAACGAAGCTAGCAGACGTTAAAGAGCGGCAGAAGGATACCACATATATTATGGTGCCTTCTAATGTAAGATATTCATCCATTCATATCTAAATTTACCTACAAACTTTTATACCAATCGCTCAAACTGTCCAAAAATTAACTAAGGCATTTACTTAATACATATAACGTTATTATCTTCTCTCCTATTCTTATTTCCCCCAAATTTATTTAGGATTAATGTTTTGTCTTATTGCCTGCTGCTTGATTATCTACTCCTTTTCAGGCTTGACAAAGTAACAAAATAAGTGGATGCGTAAGGGAAACTGATAGAACATTAGTAGTACTTTATTTTAAACTTGTTAAATGTATGTCCATCTAAGTTTAAAATTAAAAAAAAAATACGATTTTTTCGCTCTAAATTTAATGTATTCTTATTTGTCACTCAGCCGACGAGCGGTGCACCATCAGTCGCCGGCATGAGCATGCACAGCCATAGTACTCTCAAAGAGACAGAGAAAGTCGTGCCTACTTACAAAGAACTACTGCAGAAAGAACCTATCAAAGCTCCAAGTAAGCAGTTTATTTAAAAAGTAACCAACATTTAACCCGTTTATTTTGTCACTATTTTTGTACAGAATTGAATCGCATTGAAGTCAAGTCGTTAAAATTCCAAGGCTAGCACTTTAACTAGTTTCATTTCTACCCAAATAAACTCATGAATTCAGTATGGCAGTAACATCTAGTAATCTTACTTTTGCAGCGTCAGATGATGAAGAAGACATACCTTCAAGGTGTTATCTGAAGCGTCAAGCACAATTAATAGTGGATACGAAGTGCAGACGAAAAGGATTTAGAATGCCGTTGCCTAGAAAATAAACAATTTAATCGATTTTTGATACGATTACTCAAATCAAAATTACGTTCATTTATTGAATTATTGCTTATAGAAAGGGTAGTGACGCGAAAGCCTAGATTAATTAAAAAAACCTAAAAATTTAAAAATACGTATTTTCTTAGCCAATACACTGTAACTGAATAATAAGATTTTATATATATTAATTACCAATAAGTCCTTTTTTACATCAATATAAACCTTTACAATGCACTTTATGGTGTTTAGTGTGTATTTTGTTCGTCTTAACGTCATAGGTAGGTCGTGTGATAGGTAATAAACATATTTTAACCCAGGACAGGCTTTTATTATAAAGTACCTACTTCATGTAATATATTTATTTATGCGTTTATGAATTGCCTATACGAGTAGATCAAACGCAGTGGTCCTCCATAGCCACGTCTGACTATTTGCGATACATTCTGGAATCTGTCTCATTGTCCGGAACTCTTCGCTTTAAGACCACATGCTTCAAAGATATATACCTATGTATATACCTAACCAAGACCATATAACACTGATATAAAGCATTGTTGAAGAACTTTGAAAACTTCAACTGTCTCCATTTTTTATTGTTCTTTTTTTTTATACGTTGGTACTTGGAATCCAAATATATTCGTGCCCAGTTGAATTCTCGTTAGCCCCAGGTCGAGAAATACCTCTTAATATCAGACAGAAAGTTTTGTTCGTTTTTAGAGTTCACGGTTAAATTTCTATAAATACAGAAATGTAGCTACGCCGACCTATTTATTAAAACCTCATATTAAGTTGCATCAAAAGTCAACATCAAAATAACAAAAATCACTTTGACATTAAATTAACTAAATCACACTGCATCAAAAATTATACATTTCTATTGATTTATTAACATTTATTTAATTTTACTTAGGTTATAACCAATTTACAATATGTTTAGTGAGCATAAAAACTCGTATCTACAATTGGTATGCGCCGCAAACCCGAGAGTCATCAACAAGGCGGTAGACCGCGCAATGCGGTACAAGCGGAAAGATATGCGCGATGGTAAGTTTGTACTTGGAAATAATACTTAAATTATTAGAGAAATTCAAGGTTTAAGCGGTTCATAAGATACTGTAGGTCTTTCTTGTGGAGAGGCTATGTCATCGCAAGGCTCCAAGCATTACATATAGTACTTACTTTATATAAAACGCAGCGGTAAAGCGTTATGCTCACTGAATGTTTATCTGCTTCCTTTCGTGGACAAAATGTATAAGTATGCAAAATATATAATAACTGTGACTGACCAGAGATGGCAAACGTAATAGTGGACGCCAACAAGTGAGATGGACAGATGACCTGAGGCTAACAGCTGGACACCACTGGAGAAGGGTAGCGCAAAACAGAACCCAATGGAAAGTGCTAGAGGAGACCTATGCCAAGAGGCACTCTGAATTGCGAGATATTTTATAAGAGTAATCTTATGAACTGTTTAATATTGCATTTAGATAATTCAGAATAAAGGGCTTATTATTATTATTATGCAAAATATATAGAATAGACAAATTCCTGACGACATAATAGGTAGGACGCTTGTTTGGTACAGTCCGATGCAAACCTAATGGCGGCTCATAATATCGTAAGAACACAATAATAGACAGCAGCGGGACGTAAAGGAGGGGGGCAGGGCGACACACGACACGCATGCCTTTAGTGTGAGTGACTTGACTGTAGGTACCTGCGCACACCTGTGTGCGCAGCTAACTTCAGAGCCGCCATTTAGTTTGCATCGGACTATACCTTTAGATTGAGTCGGCAATGGGCTATGGCTTCTTTTTAAACCTTTTTTAGGTTTTTTACAGTGTAGGGGCAAACGAACAGACGAGTCACCTGATAAGCTACTGCCGCCACCCATAGACACCGGCAACGAAAGGGTCACATGTGCGTCGCCGCACTTTGAGTGTTTGCTTGAATAATTACGTATTGATATTTACTTACTCCCAAACTTGAAATCCCCAGAAATCCCACCAGCTAAACGCCTGTCATCCATGCAGCCATCGCTCTTTGCACCTATGACAGACGTCACTAGAGCACAGCTGGGGTTTGGACGTGTTGGTCTACGTGTGCTGAACAAAGAACTAAGCTCGAATGACAATCTAATACAACTGCAAGCTATACATAGCATACTTGATCAGGTTAGCCAATGTTTTAGACCTAACTTCTCCTGACTCTGGCCTGAAAGAACTTGCTTTTGTGATTTCCATTTACCGAGCGATTAATTTACCAATTGTCATGACTCAACTTTTGTGGTTTAGACTCCTGCCGTTGAATAAATCGGTTCAGCAGTTTAACTTTTATACGTATCCACTTTCTCTTGTGCAACGTCATTCGATTCTGATAAAACATTTGTTATGACACCGACTACTATACTTTTAGCAGGCACGTTCGTTTTAGTTTTGGGGATACAAAAATAAATACCTGAAGGACTTTTTATCCTTCTTCTGTACAATAGACGTGCCCTATTCATATTCAATTTAATTTTAATTCTGCTGTAGTCTACCCGTTAAAATATTGTTTTTTACAGGTACAAATATCAGAAAACGCAATATTTCTAATAAACTTAAACATCATTTATCGCCTCACAGAAATAATGCACGACCGCGACCCTATTATCCGTGAAAAAATTTGCCTAATTCTCACCCACCTCGCGCATTACTATCAGGGTAGACAGGGTATGTTATCTCGGCCAATCATCGTCGAAAAACTCATGTATTTAATAATGCGTGACCGTAAAGAAATACGGTATGCTGCGGCTTACACACTCAGAACTTTGGCCAGGTACAAATGCACTAGTGAAGTTATTCTAAAGACGGAAAATATCATCGAAAACCTTCTAAAAATGGTCAAAGATGAACACACTGGAATAATTTTTATACACCTCAAAACACTTTGCGAACTTTGTGAATGGGATCCAGAGACAGCCTTAAGAGCCAACGGTTTTCAGGTTATGCTCATCTTGTTTAGTAACCATGACAAAAGAGTGTCCGCTAAAGCTATGGAATGCATGACTCAGCTTTGTAAACATGAGGTCGGAAAGCAACTCGCCGATATACATGATTTAAATTTGCTACTACTAAAACATTATTTGAGTTCTTCCTATGTTGGAGTAATATTAAGCGCTGTAGGTCTCATGACGTATACTACAGTGACTACACGTTCAAAATGGCGCGCGAAGGAGTTCACTTACGAATTGACGAAGCGTTTAATGGCATTGACTAAAGCACACAACTCTGCGTTGATGCAAATTCGTGTGATGCAAGTTCTGATTAATCTATGCGACTGTCCGGACATCAGATATCATATGAAGAAATATTGGGAGAGGAAAGTTCAGGCTATAAAGATCAGAACACACGAGGAATGGAACGGTACGTCAGAAATAACGAGTTATGGTTTTGAATCGGGACATAATTATAGAACTATGTGTATCGAGGGTGTGGAAACCATCAAAAATGATTATGGCGATAACGTGAACGTCGTGAACGTCCACAGTTATTTGGAGAGAGTCCATCACGTGAAGAAGCATTTATTAAGAGCTATTAACTTCAAGCCACATGTGAATTAATTGTTATTCCAGAACATTTAAAATATTTGTTCGATTTTATTTAGTAGTTTGAATTACAGAGTGCCTGTGTCTACGCTTGACGTCCCTGATCACCAGCAGCAGTAGATAAATTTTATTTTCATTTTAAAAAAGAGTCTCCCGCTTTGGGAATGTACCAAGTGTCACGGGGGACTTTACAAACATAAATGACGAACGGACACAAAGAACCCCCAGACTCAGAACAACAATTTGTGGATCACACAAAGTGTCGTCCCATGTGGGGTCGAACCGACAACACTCAGCGCAGTAGGAAGCGGCGTGGCGCCCGCTTAAACCACTACGCCATCCGTGCAGTCATATTGCTATTTATAAGTCGTTTTCTAGAGGATTTAATTATTATTTTTTAAAACGAATGATTTGATCATGTTTTATATAGTGTAGGAGGCAAATAAGCAGACATGTCACCTGTTGGTAAGCGACTACCGCAGTACTGAAATAAAATAATATGAATTATTATAATATTTTAAAAAAATAAACTGATATAATTAACATTTTAAAATATACTATTATTCATCAAATAAAATTTATTAAAATTTTTACAGGACTAAGTTTTCTAATTACTTCCGAGAATATTTTCCTTATGATAAACTTATAACATAGGTTCAATCTGAGGGGATAAGTTTGTATATTACAAGCTTTATATTATTTTTCTTGATATTAAAATGAAACTCTGTAGATCAATTTAAGCATTTATTTGAACAAAATTTGATAAGTATTACAATATTTGAGCTAGACGTTTTGGTTTCATACTTTATGCCAGAAGGCACACTTAAAGCTACATTCATTCAGTCGGTGAGACTAAATAATACATATACATCTACAACAATCATGGTCATACAATCTGATAACATACAAGAGCAGACAATGTTTGCTACTTTCATAGTTTTAAATAAGTACTGGTCATCACTAAACAAAAAAAAACTTCAATTTAAAATGCCGGCAACGAAACAAAATGGCGGCAAACACTGGTAAAAAGTGTATGCAACACTATTTTTTTATATATATACTTCCCTTCCCTAAGTTCTAGGCTCAGACTTGCAAGCTGAATAGGCTAATATCAACTATTGTAAACAAAACCAATTGAAGTGAAGGGTTGGAACACATCTGCCTTATAAACATTTGCGATATTGAATTGACAGCTGTCAAAAAACCTTGTTGCCATATGCGATAAGCTTTGCTATAAAGTAACGAGTAGTTTTTCTATTTGTCTATAACCTAACCAAACAAGACTAATATAATAATATCAACAAAGTGGGTAATTTGTAAAAATTACTGAGTTAGCATGCTTTAAAAAAATATCTATGATCAAAAAATGAGGGCTTGAGACTAACAGATGGTTCAGCTTGGACTTTCAGTGTATTATCACGACATGAGTGTCCCGGTACAAAATAGCTATTTAATCTGAAAATTCGGTTTAAATCACTATGGACTTTGTGATATGGACGGGCGCTAATCCTGGCCTGTTGCTCTGGTGGTTATTTGTCCTAACTGCTGAGCCGGAGATCAAGGGTTTTGGAGCGGTTTCGCTATGTCCTATACGAACCCTTGAAAATACGGATCTAGAAATCTCGGAATGAATTCGGATATTGCTTTTCGCAATACCTCCGATTTCTAATCCGTGATTACGGATTTGGAAGGCTGACCGACCGACTGAATTCGTGTATTGTTTATCGCCATCTCTGATTCTTATTCAAGCAATTCAGGGCCACCTTTTAGCATACGTCACTTTACGGGGAGCGTTCACATCTTAAATTGAGTCCTGGGGATCGGCGTCTACTTCTGACGACATAGAAGAGAAAAAGAATTCTGGCAATGAATGCATTGGTCCGTCAATAATCTTGTCAGGAATTTAGATTCACTGATAACGGAGATAATCAGATGACGGAAGCTGAATCTAGTGCGTAAGCTACCATAGAAATAGTTTTACAACTGTTTCGGACCGTATTTTCACGGATTGGTATCGGATTCTGATCGGACGTAGTCTACTCTTACTCTCACCCAGGCCAAATATTTGTATGATGAACACGTAACGATAATTTTTGTTGTTAATCAAGAGTAGTTACTATAGTATAGGTTCCGATGTATAGAACCGTATTTAAGCTGTTGCACATTATTATATAGCTAGTTTAGTTATTCACTAATCATTCTGACAGTCAAGATATAGTACTTAAGATGGTATTAAAATTGAAATTCGAATTAATAGGTACATATGTATATTAAGATAACTACTAATGTACTATTATAAACTACTAATATAAATTAAACCCAGAATTAATAATAATTGTCCTGGGTGAGAATCGAACCCATGACCTCTGGTTTAGCAGTCAGGAACACTAACGCTAGACTGACGGGCCCGTCTATAAATAAATTTAATGTTTAGTTTGTCATGTGGGATTTGAAGACAAAATATATGTCACTACTAATGTGTGTAGAAAGTGTATAATATCACTGGAATTAAAAGGTATTTTGTTATTGCTACTTACTGACTCTAATGTTTATTATTTCGGTACTAAGTTAAATTTTCCATTATCACGTTGTTTTGTCCTTTTCTATCAAATTATAAGGGTAATGAGTGAGAAAGAGGAGACATCAATCGCAGTAGTGAATGTCACTAAACATGATAATTTAAATATTCAAGTTTTTGTATCATTTTTTTTTATAGCGCATATCTGTCACATCCGTCAGATTTGATATTCATCGAGTAAGGTACTAGTTGCTAATTTTATTCCTCGAAGAGGGTTATGTATAGATAATGTAACATCACGCTACGATCTTTAGGGGAGTTGCAGTGAGCACGAACTGCGGGTAACGGCTAATACTGGCCGTTAATATATAATAGTTAGTTATTTCTAACGAGTGTTGATCTTCGTTCGAATTGAATCACATTAGGATCGACTTTAAATACAGAAAATGTATAAAAAACAAAAAATTGTTTGACACTTAGAAAAAATCAGAATATCTTCGCGCGTCGACTTTGTCTTGTCTTCGGAGTTATAAAATATTATTTGTGCTACTTATTACATATATTAGGAGATTGCAAAAATAAACTGGTATTTTGCTATCAATTTGTTATTTTAGCATAATTTAATAATAAGTTTGAATTTTCATATTATTTTAGTTACTTAACTGTCCCAAAAATATTTTATTTGACTGGTCAAATTTTAAATAACGTATTTTAAACCGGCTAACGTCACTGAGTAGCGATAATATAAAAAAAAAACAAACGTTCAATACAAAACTGTAAATAAACAAAGTCTATAAAACAAACAAATTGTTAAAAAAACGATTTCAAACATAACTGCTTGTCTCTGCACATGGTTCTAAGGGCTAGAAGTCACACACGGTATGTATTTTTCTATTTGAAGTACTCGTTAACATGTTTAATGATGTTTAATACCACTTTATTGTTACAAACTTGTGTATTAGTTCATGTGTCGTGGGTGGTGATCTGGTGATCAAAATCCAGCGTAAAAATACACAACCATGCAAAAACAAGTACAGGATATGAGGAGTCGAATGGATCCAGTTCAAGATGGACATATGAACTATGTTTATTTGTACTCGAGTATTTTGGGCAACTCTATACTTAAATATACAAATAAATAAAATTTAAGTGCATGAATGTATTTCAAAAGTTTAATTAATACATTTTTATCGGTCTGTCCGTCTGTTTTGTCAGCCAAACGATTGTATTCCTTAGGAACATAATCACCATACACATTTTTATCAGAAATCATAACGATACACGAACTATTTAAAGTCAATAAGTTGACTAATACCTGTCAGACAATTGTAACTCAAGTTGACTACAATTTGAAATTAATACAATTAGTTATAATCTGCAGACGTATCCTTTGTATTTCACTGACTTGATCAATATCACAACACTTTAAATAACTGTAACAAGCAATAATGTTATGAAATTACATTACTATCGGTACAAGGATTGCCGAATCAACATCCCACATGTCGACAATCTCGTGAGCCAAATCCAAATACTTGTTTATCTTTTTCAGCTTTCAAGAGATTGTCGTCATGTGGAATGGTAATGTCAACAATCATTGCTCGGGGCTCTTATCGGTCTATTACCACTATATCAGGTTTATTGGCAACAATAGTCCTGTCAGTGATAATAGAGCGATCCCAGTACAACGTTGCACGACCGTTTTCAAGAACTGGGTCGGGCAAATATTTGTAGTACGGTAATTACTTTCATAAAACTGTATATAATAGTTGCATTTGATCATCATTATTCATAAGCGTGATTTTTAGTCGCTACATTATTAAGTGCGATAAAGCTTTCGCACTTACTAATGTAGCGACTGGTATCGACGCTTCCCCCTTTGATGAAGGGGACCTGTTGGGCCCGACGCTCGTCAGGCTTTGCCGAAGTAGTTTACTAAAAAAAGATCATCTGAGTAGACAATGAGATAGAACAGACGTTTTTTGCGTGTTATAATATTTACACACGTTTGTAAATTTTTCAAAAAAGGTCACTGTTTAGTTATTAAATTTAATCAAGGACGAGACGTCATTTTAAAATCGAGTTTTTTTTTAAATATACAGTCCTTGCGCTTATAAACGAATTACTTCTATACTTTATTCGATAAAATCTTATATACAAGGTAATATTATACCTTCGACTTATGTAGAACCCTAGGGGCAACAAAAAAGCGTATCGCATTCTACAGGAACCATGAGGCTCTAATCAAAAATCACAATTAATGATAGGGTGTAACATGTTACTTTGTACATCACTAAAATACTCGTTACCTACTACTAATACATATTAGTACTATGTGTGGCGTATTAGCTTTCGCTACTCTTTCGAACAATTTTTAATAAATAAATACAATGTCAATGTCACAGTCAATCATGTTTTTAATTTAAAAAAATAGTAGATAATTTTTGGTATAAAATCACCGAAGCAAAACAATATTTTTTAATATACACAGCAGAGTTTAGTTCCGACCCCCTGGATCCTCATCAATAAATAGTGCTATCTAAGTTCACTGGGTAATATAATATTTTAGTCCACTCGACTTAAAACACCTTTGAAAGTCTAGGGACAACTCCCAATATTATTGTCCATCTTCCTCACTAACCACATTTTAAATCAATTAACTGCTGCTATTTGAACAAACATTACAGTATTTCTACAAGGATTACTGCCACTCACTCTCAAACCTAAAGTGTCTACAGTACAATAAAGCTACTGACTGCACCCACTGCAGCTGTTGCAGTACTCACTGCTAGGTATAATACACTCACTGCAATAAATACGGCTACTCACTGCCACTATTCATTGTATTGCACGTACTCGTAGAGCGCTTTGCACAGGTCGTGCAACTTCGGGTCTCACCTGCCGCCGCCGCGTTTGTTCAAAGGGTCGTACACCTCGGCCTCTGAGTCTAATTCGTCCTCTGAGAGGGACAAGGAACCTCCTACGCGACGAGTGCGGAGACCCTCCTGGAAATTAGATATTTTTTTTATATGATATTGGAATGCATTGTTTTTATTGATGATGTCCACATTTTAGTTAATAAAATGATGTGTCGAGTTTGATTTGTTTATTACTGCGTTTGAAATTCTATAAAATGACCCTGGATAATAGCATTTGTATAATTATCATGTTCCATTTCTTTTTTATATTTATTATAATATTTTCTTGAGGACGCCGTTAAAAGGAAATTATGAAAGAGTTTTTTTATGTCTTTTTCGAAAATTAAATTGATTAATAATTATCATTAAACATAATTAGCACTTGTTTCTGTTAGATAATAGATTACTGACAGGTTAATATTAAATTAGAAATGATACAATCAGCGGTATTAATTCGTTAGCGGGGGTTAATATATAATAACTGTTTGCATCTCAGTTATACATGAATAAAGTACAGGATATGACTTATTATTTTATTGCAAATATTCTTGTGAGTTTATTCAACTTTTGATTAATGCCTTTGTTGCAGTGCGACCACAATTTCGTATTGTGCGAGTTCAAAATTCTAGTAACGTAGGAATTTCATAACTTAAAAGTAAATTAAAAAATACGAGACGTTTTAGCATACTTGATCAAAAGGGGTCTTAGATTTGACCGTCGGATGGGTTGGATTAGTAGTTGGAGGGGAGATAGCTGTTAATATCCCTTCGGAGCATCAAGTATCCTCGTAACGATTATTTTTATATGTATTGTATAGTATGACAAGATGAATTATTGAATAAATATATATCAATAAAAAAAACGTGGAATGGAAGTAGAAGCAAAATATTTAGCGCTGCTAATTATGTGGAAAAAACTATAAAAAAGGTATGACTAAGATAAAAATTACATTGATAGAAATTACCGGTAGATTTTGGTATGAACATACTATTGTTTTTTTTTATATATTCTTTAAAAAGGGCATTAGGAATATATCTTGTGTCGCGGGACTTTACAAACATACATGAAATGGACACAAAGAACACCCCGACTCAAACAACAATTTATGGATTACCAAAATGTCGTCCCATGTGGGAATTAAACCCACAACATCGGCGTGGGGACCGCTTAAACCCTACGCCATCATTTAAGAATAATCTAATTACATTTAATATGAATGTCTTTGCTTGAACTTTTTTAGTACAAATGACACCGTGAATGACGTCATAAAATATTAATACTTTCACTGGTCAATATGTTCGCTTAAAGTATAAATGAAAAGTCTTTTGTACTAAGTATGACACAAAAATCTTGTTTTTTATTTCAAATATTGATCTTTGTACATAATATGTTATAAGCAGGTGACACTGGCTCGCAGAACGACCCCCGTCCTCCATAAGCGCAGGCCTGGGGGTGACAGTTGAGGCCATCTGTCACCCTAGCAGAAGCGGGCCGGGGTGGCGGCGAGCGTGTTGCGGAGCGCGCTCGCTTCCAGGGAGCAGAGGGAACATGGGGTTCCCACACGGGGGTGGGTCGTCTACTCGTCTGTAGATGGCCCGAGGTATGTCGGGGCACCAGGGACTTCCTCTCTAGAGTATACCTGGTTCCCCGACTATTAGTACCCGAGACGGCGTGCGGTTTTAGTCGGTTCGAGTCCGACATGCCACCGATAGGTGGTATCCGAGGGGATTTCCGCACGAAAAAGAAACAAAAAAAAAGGTGACACTGGCTGTTGTCGTAAGCTGACTGTAAAATGTGCTCGGACAATTGCAACGTCAGGAATGTATAGTTAAAAAGCATGTCATGCCAAAACCACAGGGAAATTTACCGTCAATATAACATTTACGGAAAATTCAACTGGGATTTTGGCATGTACATACTTTTTAACTGTACCTAAAATATGGAACGCCATTTTAAAAACTATTACAACGAACTAGTTAGAAAATGTATTGGCTTTATAAAATAAGAATCGTCATTTATTCTCTATGGCTTTATTTTATTAATTTAAGTTAAGTACTTCCTAAGTTTTTGGTATTAAAGTTTTAAAGATAAGCACACTAGTTCTTTATTAGGCATAAAAGGAAAAAAAAATGTGTTATTTATAGACATGAAATTAATGGTGATTAGCCAAATTATTTTCAGATAGCCGTACAACATAAACATGTGTAAATAATAATTCGTTAATGTGTAAACATAGCCGGTACAGATCTTGGCACAAATGAATGAGCGATAGAAGACCAATAATACATAAAAAGACAATACACAACACAAGGCATTGGCGGTCATAATATCTAAAACAGTACCTACTTTAAGAAAGTAGCCTTTTTACTGGCACCGTATAATAGTGTGTTTACATTTTAAAGTTCATGCGAGATAATTACCACAATGTAATACTCGTATTACAAGAAAACAATTGTAATCATTTTATAATTTCATGCAACCATGTCTAATTTGACTGTATAAATGTTAGTTCTTAAAGTTTTTACATTTGTTTAAAACAATGTTTAATAATAATGTAAATATTTCAGTCAAAATAGGACTTTAGGAATATAATCAGTATCTTCGAAATTAAACCAATTATGTTTTCATTTATGAACCTTATTTTTTAGTAGCGTCAGCTCAAACTTAAAAAAATACCCAATTATTTTTATTTACATATATTTATTTAATTATCATTACATCAGTATCTGTCTGTTTCCATCGCCAATGCTATAAATACTCTTGCCGTCGATAAAATGCCTAATGGTATAAAAAATATATATAGGTTGTACCGAGGTGTTATTTAACTGAAAAGCAAACAAGCATACTGACATGTGTGTTGGTCCAAGCTCACCTAAAAACTCATTAAACGCAACAAAATATACATAAATACAAAGCTCCCATTCCCACCGAAACAGAACGAAACAAGAAAAATAAAAAGAAAAGTCTAAACCATAGCTAGAGAGTGCGGTGCTCAATATGTGCCCACCAATTCCGTATCACTGATCCACGCGGCGCCTTCCTCGACGCTTGATGACATCTGAAGTATATACCATAGCTTCAGCACTTACAGCTTTAAGGGGTTGCCGTAACACCCAGATATTGAAAATTATACGATGCTAGGAGCACTACAACGTTATTTAAACATATATATTGTTGCGTACTTTTCGGAAATAAAACATTAAGAATGTGTATTTATACTCGCCATTGCCTTCCCGTTTAAAAAAAAAAATCCTTTCATCTTAACCTTCCAATTTTCCTGTCTAATTCCTTAAGTACCCAGGTGACTACAATAGGCCCTATTCGGATTAAAACTATAGAAGGCAAACTGTCGGCTTTTAATACGTCTCTGCTTATCCTCTCAGAGATATATACTTGAGTAAATAAATTCTTTACTAATTTGAAATTTGCAGTTTGACAAAAGACACACACAATACTTAATGAGCAAAAATTTGTCACGGTTTCAGGAACTAGCTCTGACTTTTTTTATTCTGTTACATGAACAGAGTATATTTGTTTTCTACACAGCTTATAAAATATCCCGTAAATTAGAAATAAGAAGGTGTCTTTACGTCCAAAAACGATTTAATTTGTTGTTTTCTGTGTAACTTCTTTCCTCTTGTTTTCCTGCAATCCGTAGCAGTGTTCGTGAAATCAGACGGAAATGTGTAACAGGAAGTCGAGGAAACGCGATTTTACGCGCTCGTGCTAGGGTTGGCCGTCAGATGGTAGTTACGGTGTATGTGCCTGCCGTAAGGCGTCTCATATTTTTTTAAGTAAGTTATTCAAATCTCCACGCAAAACTTAACTTTGTTTTATTACTGTTATAACATTCTTAATATTTTCTATTCACTTCAAATAATTATTATTTTTATCTGAAACTGGGTATTACGGCACTAATAATAAGAACTGTCTGTTGCTTGTCCAGCCAATCTAAAATCAATTTCTAGATTGGAATCGGAGAGCAACTATTTCACACACTCTTCAATATATATACATTTAAAACCTGACTAAGAATTTAATAAATCATGAAAAATCACGTAAAACCCTTAATTATACTCCACGCTATTAGTTTCTGAAGAAAATATCTACACACAAATATAATTTCAAGGCAGAAAGTTAGTTCTTGCAATGGCTTTACTCACGTTGGTACTTATATACAAGATATTTATTATTATTATACAAGACAACTCCCGCATTAGGAACATATCCTGTATCGCAGGGGACTTAACCAAACACAAAGAACACTCAGACTCAGAACAACAATTTGTGGATCACACAAGGTGTCGTCCCATGTGGGGATCTAACCGACAACAATTAGCGCAGTAGAAAGCGGCGTAGAAATCATATATATATATACATCAGAGGGCTTGCTTGAGTAGTAAGTAAAAGAAATATAAATTACTGTAATACGTGTATATGTACTGTATCTATGTTATTATATCTATGCATTAAACATGACAAGTACCAACATATTTTAGGCAAAAAATTCAATTTTTTTTACAGTTATTACAGAATTTCTTCGCTTTTGATCGTCTTCTACGCGTTTGCGTAAACTACGCAATACAAAATTCACTTAATGATGTGTCCAATTAAGTAGGGAATTTGGAGTAAAAAGTAGCCTATGTTACTTCTGTATAATGTGGAGAGACTTAGTACACTTGACATGGAGTTCGTCGGCAGTGATACGTACAAGAAACACCGCGATTTTTATTTTTGGAGCATTTTAAAGTTTTCAACAATAAAAATTACCAACAACTTATATATGAAAAACTGCAGTTTTTTAAAACCTTTAGTTACGTTAAGTATAGTTGAGATTAATCAAAATGAAATACAGCTTATGTCACTCGCTGATAATGTTGCTTTATATAATGAAAAGGATTTTTAAATCGGTCAGGTTAATTTCGAGTTTATTTATAAAATATCAATCATCTTATTCACCGTATAATATTAGTTTAAAAAACTATCACTGAGTCGACCCGTGAAATTAACAATGAGACATACCTCGAGTATTCCAGCGCTGGGCTCCGAAGCATACCCTTCAAAATGTCGCTGGTCTTCTTCGTAATCTGATGAGGAGGAGGAATCGTTGTCAACGTCACACGCTGTCCGGACCGAGCAAACCATCTGCGCTAGATCCGTGAACGTGTAACTGCAATAAAGTTTTTTTTTTTTTTTTAGTTTTCTTAAATTGAGATGTAGGAAAATCGTGGTATTGGTGATCATAGACAATATAAAACCAACCACACAATGACAGCTACGTGATAATAAAAGTTATTATTTACAATGTATTAAGTGATAAATCACACAAGTTACTTTTTACCTACTTGTATTTAACAGTAATATATTCTGAAACAGAGTAACAAAATTCTATGAGTAGGTCAAAAACGGAGAAATGGCCTTATTGAGTCAAAAATGGGGAAATAGGCTTATTGAGTCAAAAAGAGTAACAAGTGCGATGCCGTCCTTTGATTCCACTCTCCCATAATTCACAAGTGTCGCGAGTTCAATGGTTTTTCCATCTCAAGAAATTCAATTTTTTGTTTATTGTTCAAAAATGCCCAAGGCGCCTGAAGATTTCACTTAAAAAAAATTTAAGACATAAGGCATAAGGCTGTACAAGAGTGTTTCAATAAATTGGTGTGTACGTACTCGGTGAGTGAGGGCTGCGCGTCGTGCTTGCGCGCGGGCGCTCCGCTGGCGCCGCTGACGCCGCCCCCCCCTCCGCGGCGCTGGCCCTCGAAGTAGGCGGCGCCGTGGCGGTAGCCAACCTCGCGGATCTCGTCGAACGAGCCGAACTGCAGCGTCTTGTACGCGTCGATGGGCGGCCGGATGTACTCGCAGTAGTCCGACTTCTTCACTTCCTGCCACACACACCACGCCGACATTTAGAGACATCGAAGGCACTTCTAACAGCGGAATTTGCTTCAAATTATGTAGTGAGATGAGAAAATCGAAACCCAACAAAATTAGGTAACAGTATTTGCTAACATGGGCAGTTTTTATTTTAAAAAAACGGGCTGTCTACACACGACTGAAGTAAAACTTCTTGGCTATGAGAGAACGAGAGAAAGAAAATGTGCTCGCACCTCTCTCCCTTGCGAAGTAATATACGAAACGTAACTCTCTCTCTTTCTATCTTCACTAACTCATATCTCCCTCTCAACTTCCGTTCGCCTCACCCGATCACACTTTTCGTAACGCTCTCGTTACGCATTCACCAGTTTACTCCCCAAGCGTGCGTAAAGAAGTTATATTTCAAAAAGTAAGTAATTTATCAGTTCATAACAAAATTATTTATCATACTTATATTGGTTTAAAAGATTTGTTTTTAACATTTGAAATTACACATAATATATTTATTTTAAACTAGAATTTAATGAAAAAATAAATCACCCAACGCTTCCTCGAGTAAGAAGGCATGAGTCACACCGAAATCACATACAGTTTTACTTTAGTTCCAAAAACACAATACCAATATGTAATTAATGTTATACTTACTTCTAATTGTCGATTACATGACACGTAAGCAAGCCTACTCTGTATGTCGGGCAAGTTGGGTACCTTCACGGGGGTTGTGAAGGGATTCCAACTGCAAATGAAAAAACGTAAATATTAATTATGTGAGTTTGTTTATCAGCAGTCTTGTTACCATAGCACGGGCTCCGCCTACTTTGAAATCAGACGGCCGTGTGTGAGGTGTGAATTGATTGATTCTTTAAAAATAGGTAAAATGAAATAAAATGGAATACATACAACAAAATTTTCAACTTTTAATGAATAACAGTCGAACTTCAACTACCAGGCGATCTGTAGTATTTTCTTTTTTAACGGCATAAAAGTCTCCTGACAGATAGTAATGAGCGGTGGTGCCCATAAACGCCTGCAATATTCAGGAGTCACAAGGGCGTTGCCAGACTTTAAGGTAAGAGTACGCTCTTTTTCTTGATGTTTTGAAGGACGTATCGGTCTGCCCGGAAATACCGCAGGCGACAATTTGTTTCACATATTTATTTTGCGAAAGAAAAATTTTTTTGAAAAGCGCCCAGTGGTAAAATGCCAACTATCCAAGTAAGGGGAATATTATTAGGGGATGGATGGTTTGCGCGTGGAACGATGGCGAATATATAAAGTAGTCCATATCTCACCGTTTCCAAAGCAGCCACCAACCGGACAGATCGTCCCCATAGTTGGTGAGATCAGTGTCATCTTGGGACCCCACGTCGATAGCCAAGATGTGTTTAGCTCCTAGAGACCTCATCACATCCGCTGTAAGAGTTACACTATATTGTTATTATATTCGAATCATTATTTTTCGATACGTATATATTTATTTTGCTAAATATTTAACAAAACAGACATTGTTGCTATTGTCTATGACTTTAGAGTCTACACTAGAGACGATTTCAAATAATTTAAAAAAAATTAAATAAACATATTTGTGTTTGAGTTTTATATTTGCCAGCGGACGGCTTTTAGATAGCGCTAGAATTTTGTAGGTGTAAATTACATAGGGAACATGGGGTTCCCACACGGGGGGGGGGGGGGTCGTCTACTCGTCTGTATATGGCCCGAGGTATGTCGGGGGCACCAGGGACTTCCTTTCTAGGGTATACCTAGTTCCTCGGCTATTAGTACCCGAGACGGCGTGCGGTTTCAGGCGGTTCGAGTCCGACATGCCACCGATAGGTGGTTTCCGAGGGGATTTCCGCACGGAAAAAAAAACATTCTTCTCTGGTCTATACACGCTATAGTACATTTATCTCAAAAGTGGGTTCGTTGATTTTTTAAACTAACCAGCCTCTAACCCAAATCTTATTTTGGAGACAGATGGTCAATTCAACCATGTTTATGTGCATCATGCTCGATATTTTCGCCGATGGGGCATTACACCCTTTTTAAAAATTGTTTAGATCATAAAGGTAACAACGACCTAAAAATTTAAGCTGCATTTAAATGCATTTCAATTTTACATTTGAAATTCAGCAAAAAAAATTATAAACTCGCTAGACGGTGTGTTGCTTATTCGTAATGACGTCACGTGTGCAAATGAAGGAAATTGTTTTTGGTACATTTGGCCTTCACGAAACTTTAATATTAATATGTAAGTAAAAAACATTTGGAAGTGAAATTCGAATAAAATGTGTGTTAATTTCTTAATTCTTTTTTAAAGTAAAATATCCGATTGTCTCTGATATACATCCAGAGTAAGCCTATAAAACTCCACGAATTGCGTTTGGTTTACATCTCTGAGATGGTTTCAATATGATTAAATATAAACAGTTACCCGGTACATTATCGACGTAGCATCCATCAACCAGGAGGTGTCCATCCACGGGATCGCAGATCGGTGGAAATATTCCCGCGACGCTCATGGACGCGCGGCAGTACCTCCATAGCACACCTGACATAACGGTACCAGGTCGATTACGGTCAGCACCAGGTCGATTGCAGTCGATACCTGGTCGATATCTCCTTGTACCGAGTCCCCACTTGGTCCAGTTGCCATTACTTACCTTGGTCGTAGACTGAGTGCAAATATTTTTTTTCATTTCTTACAGGACTTTTTTTTTCAAAAAATGTGCGAAAGTTTGACTGGAATTGCGATCCATTAGTAAGTAGAAAAGAGTTTTTCTATGTTAGAGGGGGCAGACGAGCAGACGGGTCACCTGATGGAAAGTGACCACCGCCACCCATGAACGATAGTTTGTGATGGTAAGCATTAAGGAAAGAAAGAGTGTGAAATGAATGAATCGGTTCTCATCTAAGCAATAGAGATTTACTATTGAACTATGAGAAAACAGATTTTAATAATGAATTCAAAGTTCATAACTACAAAGCTACCCTCAAAACATTGATTATCACAAACAAAATATAATTATTAAAACATGGACGAAAAAATTTTGGACATATTCGATTAACGAAAAAAAGACAATTTATAAAGTAATATTTTCACTCAGCCTACCAAGAACCAATTAAAAGGTTACACGTCACGAGCACATAGCAATGCAGCTCTGTGATTGGTTTACCTGGGAGATTGTTCACGTAACCGCCGTCCAATAGGAGGTGGCCATCTACGGGGTCGCAGAGCGGCGGCATATACCCGCTGAGCGACATCGAGGCGCGAATGTATCGCCAGAGCGAACCTGACGGTTTAAAAAATGTATGCTAGCAGTGACTTACTGGTACAGAGTCGCGCCTCTTTTATTTATACGTGTTACCGCGTGCACGTGTACGTACACAACACAATCCATGGATAGGAGTGAACGATCGGTAATTTCTTTTACCGGCCCCGACGCAGTATCCGTGTGATCTAAGATGAAAATAGACTTAGCTATTGTTACTACATGCTCATGCTACGGTGACAGCTTCCGGCGACACACTACAGATGAGAAATAAATATTAAATAAATGAGAGGGGGAAACTAAGAACCACACTCATGCATATACATGGATAGATGAAGACAAAAATGTATGAAATGTATGATGATGTAGATACATACAAAATTTATCACTTCCAACCCGACATTGTAAGAGCGAAATAAGTTTTTTTTATTATTAACATTAAGTATTAACTCCCATAAACAGCGTTATTAGGTAAACCGATCACAAGCGCTTAATAAAAAGTAATGGCAACTTCCCAAAGGCAAATGTCGGATTCGTGTCGTTGTTAAAAAATAAATATATATATTTTCTATCTCAATAACTTAGCAACACCAAGTGAGGGGGGCGGTACATACACAATATACTTAACAAACACACGTTTACATCATACGAACACATAAATGCAAGTGAGTGTGGTTTGTAAAAAAAAAACTGTAGCGGTCTATGGATACGTCACATATTTCACATGGGAATAAAATAAAATGAGGTGGGCTCAGTACTCGAATACAAGTGACAAATGCTATTGCCATCATAGATATGGAGATCGTATGACGGTATAGACATTAACCGCGTATAATGAACATGTGGCTTCAATACATTTTTTTTTATCCAATAAAGCTTGTAAACATTTATCGACAACAGATCCAAAAGGTCAGATTCACTTTTGTTCCAAAATCAGCGCTACTCTATCTAAATTTCGAAATTTTTGTAAATATATTTTGTTTTTTTTTTAAATAAAATGTGTCACTCAGATAAAAAAAAATTACACAAGCATACTGTATACGTTCGGTTTCGTCATTCGATTTAGAAAAATGCAAAGCGTTTTAAAGTCAATTTTATTTATTCTTTTTTTTAACGCATTAGAGGCTGCAGTTCTTGACTGGCATTAAAAGTGTTAATAACCCAGTATTAAAAAATGAGATGATTCGTATAAAATGACTAAATGGAATTTATAGTAATTAAACAACAACCAAACGTGTGCAATAGGCCTTGGTGAGTAATATTTGAGACAAAAGTGTATATCTGACCTTTATGAAGTCATAACAAATATATAAATACATATATATATCTCCATCTGGTCAGCAGTACAGAGATTATACGTCAAAAGGTTCAACAAATACACATTTAACATATTTTGTTTCCATGCATAGCCACAAATATTAAAAAACGGCGCGAATATCGAGCGCCATTTTGTTTTATTTTTTTATAAAGCGATCGCGTTACGATGGTTAGTGACAGTGCAACATAAAGCCTTAGTATTTTTAGACGAAGAAATAAATTTCCTGTCCATGAATGTGTTGTGTTAATTGTAACAATATTTACATTATATGAAAGTGTATAGAATATAATGACTCACACTCGAGCTTCGAGAGCAATCTGTTGGGAAGAGAACTGGAGATAACTGAGAGTACTAAAGGCTGGGCCAGACAGCGAGCGGGGGAGGTACAACACGGACACATTGCGAGCCGCCCGCAGGTTGTCTGGACCTCGAATCAATACTGGACTTGCGTACACTATCTCGACGCCCGAGTGTGATATCGACATGATATTCTACATTCCTTGAAAGTATACTGAAATTTGTGAGCCAAACAATAGTTATTCTTATTTATTATAATATATTGCTAAAACAATACAACAACGTATGAAATTAATATTCATATATTTTTCTTTTTTAACCTTCTAGAAACCTAACAGTGTTAATATTTTTAAACTAATATTTAAACGATTTTAACAAAATTGTTGAAAGCGGTAATAGGTAGTCGGAATGGAAAATAGAGTTATTTCTGGGCATGTTTTATTCAACTGTACTTTCTGTAGAAAGTTGTATAATATCATTATGACGTCATACCTACCTATTGCCAACTCATTTAGTTTTAATATATGGTTTAACAATAAAATCAGCAAAACTCTGTGTATGCAAAACAGGCACTTATTCGCGATACATGAGTATGACCACGTGACCACAATCGGATGAATTCGTTCGAAACGTTAATATTAATAAAAAATAATACCAATGTTTAATTATACTAATATAATTTTTGTATTTCTGAAATGAGTTTAGGTTTCGAAAGTCTATAAAAAAGGCTCTATAAATTGTATACGGATTAATTATTACGCAATTACGTGAATGACCACAGCTTACCATGGCGATGTACCCTCATACAGCTAGAGCTGATGTCGGTGGTGACAGTGAAGTAGGGCAGCCACAGGTCCTCGATGTGAACTTCCCCGAAGGTGGAGCGGATGGTCGCGTTGAACTGACGTCCGGAGAACATCGAAGTAGCCGGGTATGTCAGATCTAAGAGTTGCTTGCCCCATTGCGTCATTTTCTGTAACAGTTTTCGTTTCATCATTACAACTTATGAAGGGTTACTGGTTAAGTCGACCTAGATACTTTAGGAGGTTGTAATAGCCTTTATTGTTATTAATAGATTTTAGTTTAACATACCATACCCCAAACCTAACCATTTGCAAGATATTGGATTAAAATGCCGATTTTTATTATTTAAAAAAAAAACTTAATATTTTGAAAATGGTTAGGTTTGAGATATGTTATTTCGTAGTGAAATCTATCAGAAATGATGGCCATTACAACCCTTAAAGTATCTAGGTCGACTTAACTGGTAACCCTGTATATTTAATTTACTCGTATCAAATATTTTATGATAACCGGTTGAGTAGTTCAGTCGTTAAAGTGTAAGAAATAAACTTGACTTTTATAATATTATTTACAATAAAATAAGTTTAGTATTTTACTTCTTCATAAATACTTTAAAATATTATGTCGAACGTGTGTTGATCCAATCAATTATTATGTAATTTATTAGTGCTAATAATAAAAAAACGGTACTCATTATTCTAAACAAAAAATATTTTAAAGAGTTATGAACTACAGATTGTATTTTAATCAGAAAATAAAAAGAGACAGATAGTTATAAATATTGTCTAACCAATTCTTATTCCACCTAAACCACCCCTATTCATCCCGTGGGTGTCCTAACAGGCGACTAATGGAGCAAACTATGCAGGACAACAGCACTGGACAAAACCTCCTTTCTAAGGAGAGGCCATGTCCAGCAGTGGACTACTAAAGGCTGTTGATGATGACACAAACCTGGGACCATTCTCTCGCCTTCTGCGTGACTGTAGTGATGTTCCTCTCCATACACCACAGCGCCCCCATGAACGCTCCAATGCTCACTCCGCCTACCATGTCGATAGGTATACCGGCCTCCTACAATTTTGACAATTTTAAAATTAAAAAAAATTGTTTGTGTTTTTGCCATACTATTTTTAAGATATGATCAGGTTAGTCGTTTTGAACTTTGGTAATTATTAAAAATAAGTTTAAAATACGATTGATATTTAGCTACACTTAGCCGTGAGCAGTGCTATCAACCCCCCAACCAGTACCTGTATGGCGCGCACCATGCCCACGTGCGCGGCCCCCCTGGCCCCGCCGCCCCCCAGCACCAGCCCCACGGACGTGCCCGTGAGCCAGCGCGCCAGCCGCGAGAAGTCCGAGTGCACCGACGCCTCCGACATCAGCACCTTGCTGTACAGCTCGCTCTGGAACGCATACCACACCACCATACAACTACTGACACTTTGATCAACACAGAGCAAATAATAACGGAGGTTGTACACATTCAACAAAAATAAATTAATAACGTATAACTTCTGTATTAATGCCAATAATCGTATTTAAAAAGAGATCTTTTACCTTATAAATGACATTATTGATACCGTGCTATTCAAAACTTAGTGTTTTAGATGAACATTGAACTTTATTTGACTTCGATATTTAGGATTCAACAGATTTGTCAGAACAATTACTCAATGATCACAAAATATAAATTTCGTTAATCATTCTCTCTTAAATAATATGAGTATATCGTTATAACATTCATTCAATAATATGTTTGCCATCCAAACCATCTCATATTAGGGGAGAGTTGAAAGTGTCCAGCTATATACTGAAAGTAGCGGTGGCTGGCGTATGAACATCTCCGATATGAACATGTTATAGACAGGAGTGAAGTGCATTATAATATTTTTATTGTCTGACAATAACTGTCAGACAATACACAAATACACGTTTATTTACTGTCTGAAAAAATTTCCTACACAATGATGGTTCTCCTTGCCTCTACCCTCCATATAACATACCAATAATAATATCACAGATAAAATAAGTTACTTCTTTCGATCCTATTAAATCAACTTAAAAGTTGATGAATTTGAAACTAAACAATTAGCGACTACAGTTTTAAAATAAAAAAAACGTTCAAAGCAACTGTTAAATAACATCAACAATCAAATCTACCGTTCCTTGCTTTTGCCATTAGTTTTTCTACCAGTTTAAAGTGCCACATTGTTTTTTTTTTCTTTAAATAATAATATCACAGTAATATTGTGATATAGTCAATCAATACTTACAATGCGGTATTGGCTTTTTCTAGTAAACATTCTGTGTGGACACCTCACATGATGATGCTGACTGACCCAGGTCCTCATGTTCAACCAGTGAACCGTCCCCGAGGGATTAGGGCCACCCTCGCGGTGCAGTAGCACCAGTTCCTTCTGAGTACGGATAGCGAGTCGTTCGATCTCTTTCTCTATCTGTAATTACCACAATGTCATGTTAGCTATATGTATTTATTACATACTAGATTATTAATACAAGAACTTAAAAAAGGGTCTTATGGTAAATTGGGGAGAAATATTCAAAGGAACACTAGGTTTGCATACCCTATTAGACTAATGAGACAAATCTATTGGATCAATTGCCGATGAAAATTAAACTATAGCTCCACGGTAACTTAGCAACGAAACGAGGTTAATGCAATTTTATTGGGAAAATTCCTTACACCGGTACTAACTTAAGAAATGGTTAGGGCGATATTTCCATGATAGCCTAATCCCACCCCAGCCGTCTTTGATATAAGCTTCAAAGTCCTATATCTAGTAGTGGGTAGTTTTAGTATTCTAGTTACCTTTCCAATGCTAGGCTCCTTATCACCGAGGGCAACAATTAAAATACAATCTGCTTGCCGAATACACCGCTGCGTCCACTGTGTTAGGCTTGGATCGCATTGATATATAGCAACCTGTAAAAGTAGATATAGAATCTTTTAATAAAAACTTAAGCAATAGGAAGTAAAAGGTAATCCTAGAAATAAAAAAAATGCTATTCCTATAACTGTAAGTGATAAGTACATTTATGTGATGTATCAGTGTAACTCCAGACTATGACGGACCAATTAAGGATTTATTCATAACTAGCTGGTACCCGCGACTTTGATCGCATGTTCATCGGGTTCGATTCCAGGGCCGGGCAAAAAACTTATAGGGTTTTTCTGAGAGGAAAAATAGCCCAAGTTACTCCTCATATAGACAGCTACCTGTTAGTAAAATATTATCAAAATCGGTCTAGCCGTAGTGAAGATTCCCCGCAACAAACAGACAGACAAAAAATTTTAAAACTGGTTTTTAGGCATCATTTACCTAAAAACCAGTTTAAATATGTAAATAACCGTGTGAGCATGAAAAAACACTATTTTTTGCACATTACAAAGAAACACTTTAATTTTATTTATTTGTATAGATTTGAATTTTCATGAAGTCATATTTATTTTAATAAACCTTGTAAAGTAACTGTTATTGTGTTTTCCAATATAAATATAGCCCTCCGATGAGGCTGGTCAGGTGATGGGGATGGGGAACTTTTATAACGATCCAGGATCCGTAGTTACGGTCTATGTAAGCAAGAGGGCGCTTAAACAGGTTTTCTGTAAATATCACTTATCTATTCCTTTTGTTATTTTTTAAATTATTATAACAAGAAATAAACTGACTACGTAGTGTAATAAAATACCCATGAAATGAAAAAAATATCGCTCCTGTCAATACCATTTCTATAGCAACAATAAGAACTACAAGTTTACAAAATAACAGTAAAAGTGATTTAAACTTTTTTTATCTGTGGAATATTTCGTTAATTTACAATTTTCTCCTGTTAAATGATATTTATATCCTTACCTTATGTTTGTCCTCTTGCTGCGCCAGCCACGAGCTAAGTCTGTACTCGTTATTGGGGTCCATAATGGTCAAACCGAGTAGCTTCCGTATAACGTCCGACGTAAGACGCACCGTTGGTCCTGTAACACATTAGTGAACAATCTTAAAGTAATTTTAAAGTTAAATAGAACACAAATACCTATCAATGAATAGTTTTTTTACTAGTTTATTACGTACTTCGTAATACTGCAACCGTCCAAATGAAAAAGAAGCCGTGTGGTGACGTGGGACACCCGATAGGAACGAAGTTTATTGTGCTATTTGACAAATATTCCATTTATAAATTTTGGTCAAGGTATTTAAAAAAAAATTACGTACAGTTCTTTAATTTATAAAAAAAGTTATGTGTCGGTTGTTACACATTTTTCGGTCTCGGTTCCATCCGCTCAAAGCGTGTAAGGCGCGATAAGGAACTTCATTCCAATTAAGGTGATTTTTCAAATAAATGCATCAAGTCACAAAGATAATTTTCAAGAGAAGTTCTAGAAGTGTCATAATTCTTTATGCACAAGTAATAGTTGTAAATTGGCGGACTTAATGCCATAGGCATTTTCTCCCAGAGTCATTATCTCGAGTGGCCTACTCGAGATATTCTTACATTGTTTATTATTTATTTATATATTGTTTTACGGAAAAGACAAAAACTATGAAGTACAAAATGCATAAATTTTGCTCTTTTTAAAGTGCAATTACGACTTAATAATAATTTATTTCTCATCACAATGGTTTTCTTAACATTCAACAACATAAATACAAGTCGAAAGTATATAAATAAATAGCTATTACTAACGTGATAGTTACTTTCGCAATACGTAGTACGATTATAGTTGATGGTCAAAGAAATCAAATCAGTTTAACTATATTAAAAGACAATTTACTTTTTTCAATTTTTTCTAATGATTATGTTGTCTATCTGGAATGCTGTGCATATTTGTAATTAGAGTAGCACGTGAACTTAGTTTGAAACAATTATGTATATGAATATTTGTGTTTATTTTGTGAATATGCCTTAATAAATAAAATTAAACGTCAAAAATAAGGTATGTTGAAACTCGTATACAATAACAACCTGTGACAACACACATTCTTAATGTCAATCATTTACAATAAAAAAAGATAAGGAATGTAATTTTGCAGACTTATATAACCCTTACACTCGGCTTACAAAATACTGATCAAGAAATTATCCAGTTATACAATATTTTTAACGGACTTTACAAAATACGCTCTCAATTTGGCTGTATTTTTTTTTTTGTTACCTAAAAACTCCATCCGTCAGTAATGGACCGACTTAAAAAATCTTTTTACTTTTCCAGAGGTGTACGGAAATAGGCATTTAAGGGTAAGGGTTTTTTTCTATTAACGGGTTAAAGGATTCTCATGGATGTCCTTCGTCCATTGCGTAGCGTAGGGGTCTGTCGGACTCTTACCAACTAAAAACCACCCTGGTGTTCCTCGTCTTGCCAATGGGAAATGAGCGAGAATCGTAATTGCATTCTTCCGCCACAAAATATAAGGATCAAAATTAAGCAATGATAAATATAGTTAATTACAATTAATCCCAATGTGAGTAAAAGTTAATTTTTCTAATCAACATAATTTAAGATTTTGCTACAAAATTTAACAGCTCTTGATGGAACCTAAAATCAAAATAAAGCGCCTAATCATGCTTTCAGCAAGTCAATATATTAATGCTTGGCAAGAAATAGGACATAAAATGTTGGCGTTGTTCAGTCTTTCGTAACCTGTAGTTTTATAAGATCTATTATTATAATAATGAGATTATATGTATACTAACCGACAGCACAGAGCGAGTGGTACAATTCATAAGTGAATGACGTGAGCGGTACATCGTCACTGACGGGCACCACGGCCACTGTCGAGAAGTTGTGCTGAGAGGGGCGAGGCTCTATGGTGGCTGCACCTCCTAGACCAGACGCAGGCTTTTGCCACGAACCTGGAAATAAAAAGCTCCTGCTGTAATAATATTTATAGACCACAGTAGAATATACGCCTTAATATATAAGGGGCTAGGCCAGTCTAGGTGACTTCATAAAAGCTTCAAAATATTTTGATACATTCTCCAGAAAATAATAATATATTTTGACATAAATATATTATTATTTAACGGATTAAGAATACAGTGTCACCACCCCTTCATTCCGTAGGTGTCGTAAGAGGCGACTAAGGGAGCAAACTACGCAGGACACCAGCACTGCAAAGAGAAGAAAAACTTGACACAAACCCTTTTTTTTTCTTTTTTTAACGTGTGGAAATCCCCTCGGACCCTTAACCCTCCAGACCCCACCACCACATTTTCTGTACCATACCAACCCATCTGGCTAGCGTTTTATAGTAGGCCAAAACTTCCTTTCTAAGGAGAGGCCTATGTCCAGCAGTGGACTATTAAAGGCTGTTGATGTGATGATGTGATATAAATACTCAAGTATTATGATATTCTTTAATATAATATAATATTCTCTCACATCTCACACACGGCCGTCTGATCCCAAACTAGGGAGAGCCTGTACTATGGTAACCAGACTGCTGATAAACATACTTATATATTTCTCAATACATACATATTATAGATAAAGTACACCCAGACAAATGACGTTGCTCATCACAAAATTATTTGTTCTGGGTGGGAATCGAACCCATGACCTCTGACGTAGCAGTCAGGGTCACTAACCACTAGACCAACAGGCCAGTTAGTAGGTAAAGGTCTTCTGTAGGTTAAATATTCATATAATTCAAACCAAATAAAGTGCTACCTTGGAGGGAGCTGATAATTCTTTAACAGATTAAGTTTAGATTCATGTGTAGTCCATTCCTAAAAAAAAATTATTTTCATGCAAATGAAAATTATTTGCTTCACTAATATTTCAGGTATTAGTCACAGATTGAAAAACAAACATATCAAAAATTAGGTCGCTATTGCGGCTTTTCTACCACATTTTTTTTTCAGTTCAACATTTTATTCAAAGGTTCCTTCTCAATTGGTTGTGTCTTTAAAGGAATTATACAAATATGAAACACACTCATCACCAAGAATCAAACAACATACCCAAAATTCTATGTCCAAGCAAATTGATCAGCCGAGTGACGACCACAGGGAATCTTAACTTGATAGCATTAAACAACCCTTCGGGCAACTTAGCCAGCTCAGAGTCTCTGACCGCCATCACCGTGGTACTCCTTCTAGTCTGGGTAACCATCTCAACGATCCCCACCAAGTCGCCCTTGCCGTATTCGCCGACTAGTTCTTTCTTGCCGTTCGGATGAGTGATCACTGAACGTAAGCGGCCGCTTAGGACTATGAAGGTAGATCCGGATTCTTCATCCTGACGGTAGACGGCGCGACCAGATTCGAGGAATACCTACGGATAAGACATTATGTTATAGTTTCAGTCAAAGGTGGGATCTCTAAAACAAAATTGTTTAAAATTTTAATTATTACTAGCTTTTGCCCGCGGCTCCGCCCGCGTAAATGTCCGTTATTGCGGTAAAGGTAGCCTATGTCTTTCTTCAAGAATCAAAGTATCTCCATACCAAATTTCATCTAAATCGGTTTAGGGGTTATTGATTCCCCATATAAACTTCTACCCCCTTAAAGGATAATTTCTGGGAAAAAAATTACAATATGTCCCTTCATCTAAATCGATTCAGCGGTTTAAGCGTGAAGAGGTAACAGACATACAGACAGACAGAAGATTTGAAAAATATATCCTCATAACTAAATCATCGAGCTTGCAATCCAATCTACTCCTTTTTAACTTCCTTTTCATTTTAACATATTTTCAATTGTCACATCTTTAATTCTTTAATATTGCCCTATGAGTAGGACTATATTATCATTGAAAAAAAGTGGGTATCTTTGCCAACCCCTACGGACATACAGGCATTAACGTGTGTGTGTGGTATATAACTAAAGCAAACATACCCAATCTAGAGCGAAGTCGACCTGTCGAACGAAAGGCGACAGTCGCCGAACGACAGTGTTGGCAATGTGCAGCACGACGGAAGGTCTCTCCCTCATGATGCTGTACACGGTGGTCTTTGACAGCAGCCCGATGCGAGAGAAGTGTTTGGCGCGGATGGAGAAGAAGCTTGGCTCTCCAGTTAGCACGGCGAGACCGCCTTCCACCTCACCTGATAAATAAATTATAAAAAAAATTGTTTGACTTATTCACAAGTTTAAAAAAAAATCGTAATTTATTTTCATTGCGGAAACTAACTTACCGGGGTAAGCAGTGAACATGTGCACTTCTCCCTCTCCTTCCGCTACGCGTTGAGAGACAAGGAGCGCGCCAGACAACAGGTACACTAACGCAACATCCTGTATACAAACATTCACATCACACATATGCAATAAACACTTAAACATTGAGATTAACGACTATATAAAAAAAACATCATAACCATTAACACACTGTTTACAGAAAAAAAACAAAAAAAAATGGTTCTATTATTAAAACACAAAACAACAAAGTAATCAATTACTGAATATTATGAAAATTCAATAAAACGTGTTAAATTGGAGTGAAAGTTAATTAATGAATATTAAAAGAGAAACTAACTGTACTGTATTGCATAATTTAAGCTTTTTCAAATGAATTCACTTTTTCAATTTATATTTTTTTATGTTAGAGGTGGCAGACGAGCAGACGGGTCACCTAATGGAAAGTGACCATCGCCGCCCAGGAACGTCTGCAGCTCAGAAGTCACAAACGCGTCGCCGGCCTTTTAGGAAGGAGCACGCTCTTTTCTTGAAGGTTTGAAGGTCGTATCGTATATTATTCCTCATTTATTCCAAAATACATAATTTATATAACGTCATATATATATAACGTCATATATATATAACGTCATAAACCCAATTATTTACGCAAAATTTAATAACGTTTAGAACAAACTATCAGCTACTAAGCTATCTAAAATTAACGAACCCTTTTCTGATATAACCTCCACAAAGAGTTTTTAAAGTTTCGAGGACAGTTAGAAGAGATTGGTATAAAAATTTCAATCAATATCTTATAAATAATACAAAATCAATTTCATGTTTAGAAATTTAAAGAAATATCTATCCAGATTCATCAATTTGTATTCTAAGTCAAATTCCAATTAATAATCAAACCCAGCACAATAGACCAGAGTAGTTCCCGTCGTCCTTTCCGCGACAGGTAATGTAAGACTTTGTTTTCAGTCCAATAGGAAGCTGATGCCTTTGAAAGTCCTGAAGAATTTGATGGCAGTGCGAAGATGACATGGTCTATTGCTAAAATCAACCGTTATACTGTACCTGCACGATTTCTGGTTCACCGGGAACGCTATAATACAGCTTATGGAAGGAAAATTATAGTGTTAATGTAAAAATATAATAAATATATAAAACAGTGTATAAAGAAGCAAATTAAATATATTTGTACTTTTTTTGTATTGTACTTGTACTGTAAAATGGACGTAATCGGACAATAAAATATTAATTTGCAGCTAAATTGCTTGAGTGTGTTTGTGTATGTGCGTGCATGTATATATACGAGCGTGCGTGCATGTGTGCGTGCGTTTGTATGGGCATTTTTGTGCCTATGTGCTAGTGTAAGGTCAATGTATGTTGTTTTAATGTGTTCTTCGACGGTAATTTTTCTTTAGGACAATGAAATTAGATTGCATTACTCTTTTCATTATAAAGGTTATAATTTCAATTCTTTTGGGATTAATATTATTTATTTCAAATTGCTATAAAAATAATTAAAAGCATGTTCAATGTTCATTCATTTTATAAGTATTCTAAGTAAGTGGTAAGTATTTGATAAGTTTATTAATTTGATTAGTGAGATATGTACATTTATAAGCATGTAGCAGCCTGTCATGTCTGCCTACCCCGCAGGGAGAAAGCGTGATCTTAATGCATATTTGTTTGTGTCTCCCACATTTGAATGTATATTTTTTGACATTGTCTTGTAAACAAAGCATCAGATTAAGTGGTACCTTAGTGTCAGTTATATATTACATACCTTGTGGCTCTCCTCTTTCATGATGTAAGTTCCCGCGGGCAGGTCCCTCACTTGAACGTTCCCTCGCAACACGCTGTCGCTCTCCAACCCCAGCTCCTTGACGAAAGCTTCTGTGGCTATTTGTATTAACGCCTGTAATATTTAAAACATACGTTTTTTTATTTTTACTTTTTAAGCTCGGCAGACAACGAAATCGTCAGGGAGTGAAGTCCCTTCCGAAACAGGGGGGGTCGTCTACCCGCCGTAGATGGCCCGAGGTACGTCCACCAGCATTTCCGGGGATTTCCTTTCTAGGGTACACCTGGTTCCCCGACTACTGGTAACTGAGACGGCGTGCGGTTTTAGTTGGTTCGAGTCCGACATTGCCACCGGTAAGTGGTATCCGAGGGGATTTCCGAACAGAGAAAAAACAAAAAAGGGGGTGAGGTCCCGTTTTTTTTTAAATTATTTTTAGTTAGTGTGGATCTTCCTTTATTGGTTATGTTTATATATATATGAAAACTTAAATAGACTAGAAGTAATGCTAGTCTTCATCACCACTTTCCATCAGATAAGTTGGAAGATCGTCTATTCACACATATAATTTGTTAGATCAGACCTTTACCGAAGATAGCAGCCAACTCGGCACTAGCTCCATAGTGCGTGATATTAAAGTTGGCTACGTATAATCGATTACATTGAGTTTGAGGGTCTAAGCATACATATCACATCACCGACTAAATAAAATATATATATAGTTACCTGTTCATCAAGATTATCTGTATTATGTTTCTGCTTGAATGAATTACCCTCTTTTGGCCTCTGGAATGAAGAGGTCTGTTGGACGTCGGGTTGCTGCTGTAAAATTATAACATTTTATATATGTTACAATAAGCCTTTAAAGACAGTATAATTGCACTAATAATTCTAAAATTCGACTGCACGGATGGCGTAGTGGTTTAAGTGGTCACCTCGCCGCTTCCTAGTGCGCCAAGTGTTGTGGGTTCGACACATGGGACACAAATTGTTGTTCTGAGTCTGGGTGTCCTTTGTGTCCGTTTCACGTATATTTGTAAAGTCCCCCGCAACACATGATTTATTCCTAGTGCGGGAGTTCTTTTATAAAAAAAAAGACATTACCAACTGTTCTCCACTGAACTACTGTTTTAGAATAAAGTATCCTTCACCTGGAGTATTTATATTTGTTATAGACACACCTAAAAACCTTCAAGAAAAGAGCTTATTTCCACTACAAAGACGCCGCGCAGTATTCCCGAGATGCAGGTGTTCATAGACCCCGGTAGTCACTTTCTGTCAGTGGACCCGTGAAAACAGTGGTCATGTGACTATATAACGGAACACCTACTTTCAGGCCCAAAAGGAGCCAATATCAAGGTGTGGAGCGATTGAGCTCGTCATTTAGTAGCACACCCGTACGCCATTTAATTACTCTCTTCGCAACTTTCCCTTCCCTTCAAACCTCATTCGGACTATTTTTAATTAAGTTTTTCAGTTTATTAAAGTTATTAACTTAACCTTTGTAATTAAGAATTGACGGGCAATGATGGTCTGGTGGTTAGTGACCCTGCCTGCTAAGCCAGAGGTCGTGGGTTCGATTCCCATCAAGGACAAATAATTGTGCGATGAGAACGATAATTTGTTCTGTGTGGGTGTAATTTATCTTTAATATTTAGAAATATTTAAGTATGTTTATCAGCAGTCATAGCACAAGTTTTGGCTAGTTTAGGAACAGACTGCTGTGTGTGAGATGTGTAAACTAATTCTTATTATTATTATAATAATAATAAGAATTGTCAAGACCCTACATAATCGCGAGGTATGCAATCTCAGAGAATATTTTCTACATACCGACGTGGGAGTGCATCGCAATGTAGTTGCAGTGGATACCGGCTTCACCCCGCTCGCTCTGGCTAAAGAGAATTGGCGCAGACCTGTAGTACTTGGTGTTAATGATCGCAGGGAAGTATGGAAGGGCAAAGAGCTCCATGGTCGGTTTTATCGGGCCCTAAACGGGTCCGATATAGATTTAAAAGCATCTACGACTTGGCTACGGCATGGTGATCTCTTTGGAGAAACTGAAGGTTTTGTTTGTGCGATAATGGACGAAGTTATCATGACGAATAACTATCGGAAATATATCCTGAAAGATGGTACGGTTGACATCTGTCGGGCATGCCACCGTCCTGGCGAATCAATCAGGCATATTATTTCTGGTTGTTCTCGTCTTGCTAACGGAGAATATTTGCACAGGCACAACCAAGTAGCCAGGATCGTACACCAACAGCTTGCCCTTAAATACCATCTTGTGAATCTAGAGGTGCCATACTATAGGTATGTGCCCGACCCAGTTCTCGAGAATGGTCGGGCCACGTTGTATTGGGATCGATCTATTATCACAGACAGGACTATTGTTGCCAATAAGCCTGATATTGTGTTGATAGATCGATTAGAGCGCCGCGCAATGATTGTTGATATCGCCGTTCCTCATGACGAGAATCTCGTGAAAGTTGAAAAAGAAAAGCAAATTAAATATTTGGATTTATCTGACGAGATTGTCGATATGTGGAATGTTGATTCAGTGATCATTGTTCCGATAGTCGTATCTGCTCATGGATTGATAGCCAAGAGCCTCGACCAACACCTTAAGAGGCTCACGTTGGATGGCTGGATCAAGGGTCTGATGCAGAAGGCAGTCCTCCTTGACACGGCTCGTATAGTGAGGAGGTTCCTATCTTTGGAGTCCTAACCACCGGTGTCTTGGTCCCTGTACCCGATGTCGGTGGTCTACTATTTTTTATATTTTTAAATGTATTTTTTTATAAAGTGTATATTTAAAAATGTAAATAATATGTATATAAAGTAAATAAAGAGAATAATATTGTACCACATTCACACAACGCCATCTAGTCACTAACAAAGCAGAGCTTGTACTATGGGTACTAGACAACTCATATAAATACATATATACTTTTTTTTTTGTAAATACATACTTATTATACATAGAAACACCCAGACCAAATCAAACATTAAATGTTCGTGCACACAAATGTTTGACTTGAGCGGGAATCGAACCCGCGACCTTTGGAATAGCAGTCCGTTACACAAACCACTACGCCATTCGGTCGTCAGTATTATTAATTATTTAAATCGAATCAGCATTTCTCAAGTGCTTATCAAAGAATATTACTTTTATTTACATAGATATTTCAGGCCGAGCCTTACCTGTGGTGTACTCGACGCTATATCTGGCACCATGTCCGGCTTCTGTCGCCTTCCCTGGATGTGAATAGGAGACGAGACTGAGTGTCCGCCATCCTGTTCATGCATGTTAGTTAAACACCAAACATATAAGAACAGGTGAATATAGAATGGCAAATTAGAAAAGGTACATGATATATATTAACAGCTCAGATTAAAACAAAAAAGTTAAGATGGAATTTTGCAAAGAACGAAGTGACGCCGGTTTTATAAACATGTGTTCGTGGGCCGGTGCTGCTATCATTATATTTATATTTATTTTATTGAAAATATTGGTTTCTACGCTTATTTATGTGTTAATGCGATTCCATCTACTGTGTATCTTGTAGTTCGATTTTTACACCCTTTAAGAACACAATTCGGTATTTTTACTTGTAAATATTGTTGACATTTTTGATGACGTTTAGACTGACAAGGCGTAGTTTCGTTGTACGAGTATACGTAGAATTGTGTATGTACACGACAAGGCGTAGTTTTATTTGGCTTCACTTCTTTGTTTACAGAGTAGCATCTTAACTTTTTTATTTGATCTGAGATTTATAGTGATTACTATATTTAGCTGAATACTGTATAATAAATAAGTACAAATTTATGGTATGGGTGTAAATGAGCAGACGGGACTGACCAGTGAGTCCTTTGAGTGCCCCCCCGGAACGTGATCGACACACTAACTTCCATGCAATCTTTAAGATTGATTATGAATTATGGTACTTTTAGATCTGTCATGTATGTATGTAAGTGAAAACTTGTTTTTTTTATTATAACAGAAAAAAATATGTTTTTTTCGATTCGAAAAGTTCCGACATGAATATATAAACGGGGCCAATATATGTAAATACTTATATACAGAGAACAGGTAACAGTGTCGCGATTTCAATGGTTTTTCCCATCTCGAAACATACATTATTTTGTTTGCTGTTCAAAAATGCCCAACGCGCCTACAGAAGTTTTCACTTAAAAATTAAAACCGAACAACACGAAGTTGTTCGGTTTTAATTTTTGAAGTCAAGTCAATATTTTGGGTGATCGCAGTATTTCAGCTATATCGTAATAGATTTAAAAGCCGACCCCAACCTAGTTTGGGATAAATGCTTGAAGGAAGAAGGTTCTGACGAAGGTCACAGGGTATTTAAAATTGTGCCGCGACATTAAACAGTAACCCCTACCACTAACTTCAATATACATTGTAAAACATATTTTAATATCGTCTATCGAAGACATATAATTATATACATAATTATACTAATTAGGATATACGGTTTAAGAATACGGTGTTTCACCACCCCTATTCATCAAGGGGGTCGTAAGGAAGCAAACTACGCAGGACAACAGCACTGCAAAGAGAAGGAAAACTTGACACAAAAAATCCCCTCGGACCGTCACGCCTCCGGGGTTTGCGGCGGGGTGGTGTGTCGGACTCGGACCGACTAAAACCACACGGTGTGCCACTCTGCGCCTGTAACAGGAGGGATCCGAGAACAGCTGTTGTTAAGACATCCGGACCCCTCCTAGCGCCAGCCCGCTCCTGGTGCGGGCTCCGTCTCATTGTTGATGTTCCTCTCTTTAGGCGACGTCCGGCACACGCGGACGCCGCCCCCTCGCGGCTGGCCAAACTAATGCGGGTGGAGGGGAAACCCACCCCGTCCACCCGCGGCCACACTCAGGGCGGCATGAGGCTGTGATAGGCGGGCCTCCGCCGCCCGGTTCGCCGGCGGCGGATCGGGTCCGAGTGGAGGTCGTCCTCCCGGGCCCTCTCCACCGCCTCCTTCCGCGAGATTACTACCTCGCAGAAGGTTGCGACCGCGGTAAAACAACTGTCGCTACCGGCCATGGAGCGTACTACGGCCGGTAGCGAGAGATCCACTCCGATGACTGCAGTGAGGGCCCGGCGCTGCGCCGCCCATGCGGGGCAGACCGCCAGCGTGTGCTGGGCCGAGTCCTCACTGCAGTCGCAGTGGTGGCAGGCGGGACTCAGTTCCCTCCTAGCGACCGTGTGCAGGTACTTTCCGAAGCAACCGTGCCCGGAAAGCACCTGCGTCAGCCGGAAGGAAAGGGTCCCGTGCTGCCGCCCTGCCCACTCGGCGATGACCGGCTGGAGAGCCTCCACGGCGGCGAAGCCAGCGCGTGGAGTCTCCAGCCGGAACGACCAACGAGCCATCGTGGCTCGGCGAGCGGCTTCGCGCCACTCGCGCACATCCTCGGGCGGAGGGCGAACTCCGCTCTCCGCCCGGGAGTCAGCCACTCGCCGATAAACTTCGGCGAGCACTTTCGCCTCCAAATCCCACGGGGGAGTTCCGGCCAACGCGCATGCCACCTTCGTAGAAACGGTGCGGTAACCGCGTATGGCTCTGACCGCCATTACCCTCTGAGGGCGCCAGAGGCGTACCCTATTCTGGGCGGTCAGAGCCGCCGCCCACACCGGTGCACCGTACAGTGCCAAACCCTATACCAACCCGTCTGGCCAGCGTGGTGTAGTAGGCCAAAACCTCTTTCCCATCAGTGGATATGTCCAGCAATGGACTATTAAAGGCTGTTGAGAAGGAATCGGCGTATTTCTTCCTTCGTGTTGAAAAGACAAAACTGTTTCCTCGTTCCATTACAAAAAAAAAATTACTATTATCAAAGACGGTTCTAAAAATACTCCTTAGATTTATTACACTAATATATGTTTGGACAGAGAGGTCTTTTTGCAAAGATTTTATTCGTTTAGTATTTTATTTGTGACTCAACAAGTCAAGTCAACTCAATATCATCAGTGATATTTCTTATTCAGTTACAGCAAAGGAAAAAACAAAACCACACACACTTCAAAAATACAAGGCAGTTACACTTACATGTTCCGGCATAGTCCTCTCACTGTGATGAGGGGAGTGCATCGTAAAACCACTGTCAGGTGCACTCATCTTAGTACTTTTACCTGGAGATGAGGACACGGTGGTTGGACGACGCTTTTCTTTACCCTGCAATTTGTAATTGGCTCGATTAATATGGGGGCACAGTAGAGCACCTGCAAAGTCTAGGAAAACAAAACAAAGACACTACCAAAACGTCCCTTGAAAGCTTTTCGAGAATTTTATGTTATTGGCTTTTACCACCGTCTTCGTTCACGTTAATGTAGATTTTGACTTTCTTTTATCTATGTACCTTATTTTAGTCAGATCCGTTCAAAACTTCTGACGTGATTGAGTATATACAAAATTCTTACCGGATTGACCAGCTCAGCACTAAGTCCAAGATATTGATGGAGTGCTGTGAATGTCACTCGTTGTAAACGCACCATAATAATCTGAAAATGTATTACAACATTAAAATGAATGAGCCGGCTCCACCGCAGAGATACCACGATGACACAGGAAGATATTAAGCAATTTCGTCGTTGCCCTTTCCGCAATCCGCCCCCGCCCCCCTCCTAATTCTGGGTCTATATTTGCAATGCATATAGTGTATTGTGACAACAATGGTTAAAAATTGAAATAATTAAAAAAAATATTACTTTATACAAGGCCAGTTGATGAGCCTTTTCTAATGGCTTCTCCCTCCCCAAGACACACATAGGCACATGGCCCCATGAGACTACTGAGGTCTCAATTCCATCTCAATACCCTAACTACCTAGCGCTATCTCACCACAATCGTTCTTTTCCGTTAACGATTACATTCCCAGAGAGGTCATTGTTAGGTTGGCGGCTGTCCATAAGAAACCAGCCAAAACCCTTAGCAATATTACATACTACGTCAATGCTAAATAGAAATGTTAGAAGGGCAGCAAGATGACTGTTATATTGATAGCTATCTCTTTCTATGTGTTCCACGTGTCAGTCGAATCCATCTTCCATATGGGCAATGTTTCTGTGGAAGCTTAAGCTGTGATAGCTTAACCTAAATAAATAACCTAAATAAATAAATGGCACTAACCTGTATAACCCTCACAAATATATCCGGATACTCTTTAAAGACCTCCTGGAAAGCTCTCATGGGTAGTTTGATGACTTGAGAATCTTCCAGCGCTTTGGCGTTCACTGTCTTGTATGGTTGTGAGTGACCCTGTCAACATAGTGTATTGTGACATATAAGTTTATTATTTTCTAGATCAACACAAAAGTGAGAGATACAATAATAACCTATTCCATTATTCAATAGAAACTATGGCGACTTCCACATACCGTGAAACGAAGAAACATACTACACCGACATCTAACGAAGAGACATCGAACTACAGAGTATCTGTTAATCCTGTATCGCGATATTAACAATTCTTTCGCCCATTAGCATATATACAACTTCCAACATCAAACCGTTGGGCCTCGGCTCGCCAGGCATGATCACCTCGACCGGTCGGAGGATCGTGCCTTTATCTTGGAGGGATAAGACACTAGTTCCTCCACAAAAACAAATGAATCTATAATTAGTCTAAAAATACACTGGTGTCCCTTGTTTTCCCTAGTACTAAGGTCTTATAAGTATATTTGTTTACCACTTAACTTAACAACATAGTCATGCTAGTGTCAATTCTAGTCAAGCAATAATAATCTTATATATAAAATTTTCGTGTCACAATGATCGTTCCCGTACTTCTCCGAAACGACTTGACCGATTTTCATGAAATTTTGTGTGCACATCGGGTAGGTCTGAGAATCGGCCAACATCTATTTTTGATACCCCTAAATGGTAAGGGTGACCCATCCCTAATTTTTTTTTGTTTTCAAAACAAGGTTTGCCGGGTCCGCTAGTAATTTATAAAGAGACATACTATACAACGCCATCTATACGCTAACGAATTTTTAAGTAGAAAACGCTCAAACATACACGGACACATTTTTTTAACAACAGTTCTAAGAAATCGATAGGTACTTACAGTTAGGACGTCAGTGAAGCTGAGTAAGGATGTAACGCTCTCACCAGCTCGCACCACTTTGAGTGAGAGACTGGTCCCGTCTGGGTTCGTGATGTACACGTTGACGCGCCCGGTCTGTACTACGTACACGTTCTCGTCCGTGTCGCCTGAAGACATAAACAGGATGGATAATTATTCTTGGTACAATCCGTGTGGTGACGGATTAAAAATACGGAGTATCACCACCCCTATTCATCCTGTGGGTGTCGTAAGAGCCGACTAAGGGAGTAAAAGGCAACAACACTGTGACTGAACTTGCACTGCGAGAGAAGGAAAACTTGAAACAAAACCTTATACCAACCCGCCTGGCTATCGTGGTATAGTAGGCCAAAACCTCTTTTCTAAGGAGAGGCCTATGACCAGAGGACAGTGGACTAGTAAAAAAGATGATGATGAATTTACCATCACATGACCCGTTTGGTTCGTTTGCCATACTATCATCATCATCAGCCTATCGCAGTCCACTGCTGGACACAGGCCTCTCCTATTGCACGCCACTCCGATCGATGTTCAGCTTTTTGCATCCAGCTCCTGCCAGCCATCTTACGCAAATCATCACTCCACCTGGCCTGTGGGCGTCCTTCACTATTACACTACGTTGAAGGCCATCCTATACAATTAAAACATTTTGGCTTCTATTTGTCAGCCCTCTCTAGCCCTTGCAACTACTGTCACGAACTTACCAACTTTAAATAAAAATGAACCCGCAGGTAGGTTAAGGATTTCAGTATGTTTGCACAGCATGAGAAAAACAGGTTTCTCGAAGTGGCCGAACACTCTTATGCTGTGCAGCATATATAGAGCGTCCGGCGGTACCCTGTCATCACTGGTTAGGTCTTCTTCTAAATATTCTGCTGGAGGCTCTAGAACCTGAAAATAAATAGATATATGTTTATTAACATGTTATGGAACAAAGTGTAATTTCCTTCAGATATAAAGGGAGATTCTCAGACCACACAGGCTGATCCATACTCGGCGGCAATCTGTATACTTTTTGTACAAGCAATCACAATAATATTACAAAGGCGAAGCTTTGTGAGTGTGTGTGCTTGTATGTTTGTTACTTCTTCACGCGCAAATGACTGGACCAATTTTGATAAAATTTAGTGTGGAGGTAGCCCTGGATTAACACATAAGCTACTCTATATCCCGAAAAATGTAGTGTTCCCATCGAACATGCAATGAATTGAAATACATTTGATAAACCGCAGGTAAAACAGCGGGGCTCAGATAGTTCCAAAAGAAAATATTTCATGCCTTGTGTTTTTTCACTTTCAAGAAAGTGTTTATAACAAAACTTTGTAAATAAAATCTTTCAATTCGTAATGTTGCAATGAAAATCGTTATCATGTATAGGTATATCTACATTATACACATATTTACGTATAAACATTAATGTACCAATCACTGTATCTAAGTAAACTTATAGGCTTAACGATACGATTATAGCGGAGCCATGAACAATTACGTAGTTACTATTAAACATTTAATTGAACATAGTAAAAATCAATATCTTTACCATCTAACACAAATAATATGTACTATTACTGTATATAAACATATTTCTATGTATAATATGTATGTATTTACAAGGAAAAAATAGCTAGCTAGCTTTCATAGTACAAGCTCTGCTTAGTAAATAAATAACTCCGAAACAAATAACAAATTTGCAGATCATACAAACATAAAGAAGAACAAAATATAGAAGTACCTAATATTAAAAAATATTCATTGACACTGTCAAGATAATAAAACACTAGTTGTTCAATCAAAGTAAACCAATAGTCAGTCAGCCAGTACATTTTACACATTTACGATCATCACGGTCATCAGTGTGTTACTTGTATTTTAAATCTATACATAAGTTGTTTTAATTTTACAATACAGTACAGAATCCAATACATTATATAAAATTCTCGTGTGTTTGTTAACAAACTCCTCCGAAATGGCTGGACCGATTTTTATGAAATGTTGTGTGCATATCGGGTGGGTTGAGAACCGGCCAACATCTATTTTTCATACCCGATAAAGGTGACCCACCACTAAATATTTTTTTTATTTTTTATTATTTTTATTTTATTATGATTTAGCATTGACTAATATATACAACTTCAAATTTTCACAAATAAACAACGTATATGCCAAAACAACGTTTTCCGGGTCAGCTAGTACACCTATAAAAGAAACACTAACTTACATTGTTGAGAAAATTATGTTTGTCTTGTCTTGTATTCTGTATTACAGAACAACTATTCCCTGATCAAAATCTAAGATACAACTATTCTTGCTGTGTACCGGTCACCCTCTTAGACTAACACAGATCTCTTAACTCTTTAAACGGTTTGTACCGTTTTTTTTTGACGTATGAAACCCTCTTGGGCCTTTTCCCTACCGGGGTTTGCGGCGAAGCGATGATTCGGAATCGGACCAAGACATCCGGACCAACCGGTTTGTGATCCAGTGACCAGAGTGATCTCTGATCGAGGAGACCTATATGTGCTAAAACATGGCTGTCCTACGGTACAAACCGGTACAAACCGTATCAACGAGTGAGCGACAACCGGTACAAACCGTATCAACGAGTGAGCGAGTAGGACCTGTACCTCTGCTTCTGGAGGGGGGCACTCAAAAGGCGGCAAGGTTTCAATGGCTGGCAGGTGGCTGTAATCACTTGCCAGTAATCAGGTAACCCGTCTGCTCGTTTGTCCTTTATACAGCGAGTTTCAAGTCTTATATGAGACCTAAAAATAAATGTTCTGTGGCCTTTTTGTTTTTTTTTTGTTGACGGCGTGGAAAATCCCTTCGGATCTCCGGCTCCTTGGGGAGCTGTATGGACCTGAAGCAGCCATGCCCAGTGAGTACTTGCTTCAGCCGGTAAATGACGCGGCCTCCCTCCCTACCAAATGTTCTAGGGCCTAAGATGATATTTCTCCAGCATTGTTGAAAGACAATAGTAACAAACTTGTGCTCATTCCGACTTCTTTATTGTCTTTAAAGTATCATGTTCATACTGTCACACTCCTATTACATCCTCTTCATTGCAGACGCATACATACATACATATACACACAAGTACACACGTATTCAGACCCTCAAGGAAGAGGAACGCCTTGTATAATATTTCCACAGTAAAATACCTCCGAGATTGTGGTGGAGGCGCTATTGCCAAGAGACAGGTTACAATACAGTATACTAGCAACCACAAACTATGTGTCAATATTTATATTTTTTACTCTGAAAGAAACACTCACTCATTCATTCAAACAATACTTACAATCGAAACGCTATTTATCACGTTTAATTACTGCGTGGCCTTCTATTTTTAATTAAAATGTGTGATGAACTTTTTAAACATGTAGTGTTTATTCACGTATAAATGATTACTCAATAAATAGGTGAAGAGAATTAACACAAACTGTTGATGAAAATATCAAAAAGGACACCACGTATTTGTAAAAATGAAATGATTCGCCTATACGTCCCTTTTTATGGGAGGATTCAAAGGGCGGCCACGCATTTGTGACTCTTAAGCTGGAGGTATGATATGGTATGATGAGGTATGATCACCACCCCTATTCATCCCGTGGGTGTCGTAAGAGCCAACTAAGGGAGCAAACTACGCAGGACACCAGCACTGCAAGGAGAAGGAAAACTTGACACAAACCCTTTACCAACCAACTATATAGTAGGCCAAAACCTCCTTTCTAAGGAGAGGCCTATGTCCAGCAGTAGACTATTAAAGGCTGTTGATGTGATGTGATGACGTGAGCTGGGGGTGTTCATTGGCGACGGTAGTCACTTACCACCACGTGACCCGTCTACCCGTTTTCCCTCATATAACATTAAAAAACGCTCGCCTCATTCGTTAAAGGGGCAAGCAGAGATGTTAGAAATACATTTGCCACAAATTTTTCATACAGATCGCGCTCTTTCACATTAATACCTATAACGTCATCGGGCTAATTCCCATAGGTATAATATATACATTAATACGTGATAAATTCTTAGCATCCCCTCTTAAATAAACCGCGGATAAGCTGTAATTTTTAACAATATCAAGTAAAAACTCTCTAGGTCAGGGGTCTAGTATATACCTCAATCAGTCCTGGTAAAATTTTTTTTTTTTCGCACTGTGTGGCGACGCGTCGCCACACTGTGCGATACAGAAGTCGCTAATGAAAAGAATTAACTCGTATTCACTTAATATTCCTATTAAATAAATGTATATTAAATAAAAAAAAAACATATTTTCGTTTAAAAATCTGAATCTTATATTTTTAATTGTGCTATATTTATAAGTTATTCTTTTATACTCATTATTTACATAAAATAATTTTGATGTTTACATCTCTACCATACGTTCTGCGGCGGCACATTTTTTTTTTATTTTAAAGGTAACATATCTATAAGATACTAGCTGACCCGGCAAACGTTGTTTTGCCATAATACATTATTTCTAGGAAATATTGAAAAAAGAACTTTAGGGGTCATTTAGGGATATGAAAAATAGATGTTGGCCGATTCTCAGACCTACCCGATGTGCACACAAAATTTCATAAAAATGGCCCAGCCGTTTCGGAGGAGTATGGTAACTAACATTGTGACACGAGAGTTTTATATATAAGATAAAGAAACCATAGGTACCTTTAATTGTTCAGGAGCGGCCTCCTTCTTAAGCTGCAACAATTTTCTAGCAAATCTCATGACGGCTCTTCTCTTTTTCCCTTGGCCAGAGTTCGAGATAGATTTGACCTTCCTCAGCATGCGTCTTCCGTAGAAGAGCATTTTGTCGCGTTTTCGGAAACGCTTGGCTTCCCCCGTAGCACCAACGATGCCTGCCCCGCCGATTAATTCTAAACAGAATACTTCTTTTATCTATACTCTACTATGTTTAATCTTAAAAAAAAACTTAAAAATAAAACTATACTTAAAAAACAAGTATTATTTTCAGGCAACCTGACTTTTTCCATATTACAAAAAAAAACAGTGACACACCGGAAGTTCCGACAGAAGTGAAAACTTGAAAATTTAAAAATGTTTGATTATAACAGGACTTTCTTTGTTTTTTTCGATTCGAAAAACTATGTTTTAATTATATATAGTTATATTATTAATGTATTTCAACCCAAACTCAACTCTCGTGTAAACAGGGCCAATATATGTATATATTTTTTGCGGAGGGATGAGGAAAATGTGGCGAAGAAAGTTTTAGGTATGAGAGTTGAAGGGTACAAGAGAAGAGGCAGACCGAAGAAGAGGTGGATGGACTGCGTCAGGGAGGATATGGCTAGGAAGGGAGTAAACAGTGAGATGACGCATGACAGAGTAGAATGGAAAAATCATACATACTGCGCCGACCCCAAATAAAATTGGGATACCACGGCCGTAAGGAAAACTACTGTTACCCCCTCCCACCTCTCCTATTTCTGGGGGGAGGGTATCACTCCAAGAGCGGCAATGTACCTGCTTGTGGCACTTGTGTTTTATGTAGGTGTCTATGAGCGGCGATAGTAACTTGCCATCAGATCACCAGTCTGATCGTTTGCCTCCCATACACGGGAATTAAGCTGAAAAGTGAGTAGATTAAACATTAATATATAAATACTAATTACCTTTCGCACGCCATCTTTTATAGTAATAGAAGAATATCACCACCAATGACACAAAAATACATCCACAAATCGAGAACAGCAACTGCAACAAAAATTAGCTTTATTTTAATACATCATTGTGAGGAGAACAATTCAAGGCATAAAGTGAGATATAGGATACTGCAGTATCTATTAAATAGTAGCGACGAACGATACTAACTAATTAATGTATGTATACGTAAGAACTCTTAAGGCTTCAGCCATAAACACCTAACTTAGGTGTGCTTTAACCTTAGGGTTTTAATCTTTTAAGATAACGAAACACCCACCCTAACACCCTCACACCAGATCCCTGTAATTTGATGGAAGACCTTCTAGGTTTTATATTTCTCCGCGCTTGTTTAGCGGCTCAAGAAAGGCTGAGTGTAGTTCATAAGAAGGGGCGTTCATTATAGTACTAGCTGACCCGCGCAACTTCGTCTGCGTCTCTCAATAGTAATAAATTTTCTCCGTTTTTGAAACATTCTTCATTGGTGCTCCGCTCCTTTTGGTCTAAGCGTGATGATATATAGCCTATAGCCTTCCTCGATAAATGGGCTATCTAACACTGAAAGAATTTTTCAAATCGGACCAGTAGTTCCTGAGATTAGCGCGTTCAAACAAACAAACAAACAAACAAACAAACAAACTCTTCAGCTTTATAATATTAGTATAGATTGTGAACTACAAAAAAGTAATGGTTTCTTCTTAACAACTATCTTGTGCTATTCCGAAATAATGAGGGTTTCTCATTAACTGCCGTTAATAGTCCACTGCTGGATATAGGACTCTCCAAAGAAAGGAGGTTTTGACCTACTATACTACGCCAGACGGTTTGGTATAAAGTTTGTGACAGGGTTTCCTTCTCTTTGTAGTGCTGTGTGCGTAGTTTGCATCCTTATTCGGCCCTTAATCCGTCATCACACGGACATATTTCGGACGGATATGTTTTTTTAAATTATGTTAGAGGGGGCAGACGAGCAGACGGGTCATCTGATGGAAAGTGACCATCGCCGCCCATGAACGTATGCAACATATTTTACAACTTTTTTCAAATACAAGAAAAAAGCCTTTCCCCTTATTTATTTATAAGATACTAAACTCGGATAGTTCCTGGGTCCACCCGATCGATTTCGCTTTATAAAAATTGATAATAGTTATTTGATATCTTTATTATATTAACAGAATGTATGTTATGTAATTAATGTATGTAATTATCACTTTTATTTGTATGTTTATTGTATTTACATATTGTTTATTGTAATTGAACTGTGCACACGTCCGTGAGGTACCTTTGGGCTTCAGCTGAAAATCAGCGCTGTGGTCACTTTTAGGGACTATAGCATAGGCTGAGTTTTGGCCCTTTAGTCACACACAGTGATCATTTTATTCTTTTGTACTTGATTGTTTTTGTTATTGTTTGTGCTATTCTTCAGTTGAGCAAATTGTATCTTTTCTTTTTCTCTTCTATGTTATATCTGTAATTCCTTTTTTGGCTGTGTTTGTGTTGTGACTAATAAACGTATTTTCTTTCTTTCTTATAATGAACCTGACCCTATTAAATACTTAAGCACATTTTAAAGAAACTCTTTCCTTAGTTTTTGCTTCCGCCGTGACTTAAGGTAGGGTTTTTGTCACGTACAAGTCGCTCTGACCTTCGACAATGACACGTTTTTTTATACTACTGACTGACACCTCAGCCGAAACCCTGTGTGGTGGTAAGTCTTTATCGCACCTTAAAAACATTTGTTTTTATATCATTTGATTCGTTTAGCTAACAACGGAAAATAGATATACTTAAATATACATTTTATACAGTTCGAGAACAAAACAAACTGATTCGAGAATACTTTCACACTATAAACTTATTTATACATCTTACATTCGTTACTTGTTCTTATGGGTTACTCAGGCATTGAAGTAAGTTGGCAAGTAATTTGTGTTTGTATTATGAAGTTTTTAATGTATACTTTTTTTAATGATTTCTATTACGCACCCCTAATGGCCAGTTCACTTCCATTGCCGCTCATGGCGGCAACCTGAGCCAAAGGGAGGGGAGCTATGTGTTTATTTATTTATGGTTTGCTTATAGCCATTGGTACTTAATCTAAGAAATTACATGTGCTGTAATTTAGGCTAATGTACAATCACTTTCAAGCAAACAACATGCACATAGTGTTAACTAAAGTGAAAAGTTTAATTTAAATATGTAAGCGAACTTGAACTTGAAACTTGAATCACTGCGAACTTGAATCAAACGGGAACGGGAGTGTTACAGCTTGCAATTAGCATTCTCTTCTTAAAATAGTAAATTGAGGAAACTCAACTCACGAACTCTAAGAGAACTCCTCAAGAAAAGCTCTTGGGTCCATTACACACGCACATTACAACATTTACATAAATGAATAGTACAATATCTGCCTGCACTGATCTAAACTAAACGTTTCTAAATGGTTAAGCCTTGTGAGTAGAAATCGGGCAAACAAACTCACGGTCATTTTTTTTTAATCACCAGGTACCCAGTTATAAGCACAAATAATAAGTTACCCGAATAGCATAATGCAAAAGTCAATGTAATTTATTCGTAAGAGAGAACAAATGGGCCGGCTGCAAAGGAATGATATTACTATGGTCAACAGCCTTTAATAGTCCACTGCTGGACATAAGCCTCCCCTTAGAAGAAAGGTTTTACCCTACTATACCACACTGACCAGACGGGTTGTATAGGGTTTGTGTCAAGTTTTCTTTCTCTTTGCAGTGCTGTTGTCCTGCGTAGTTTACACACTTAGTCGGCTTTTACGACACCCACGGGATGAATAGGGATGGTGACACTCCGTATTCTTAATCCGTCCCCACACGGACAAGGCTATGCTACTTACTTTTTAGTGAATACTCGACAGTCAGCTATATCTATTTAAGACTTCCTTATCGCTATAAAAACATGCTCTGCTAAACAATTCGATATTTACTTTACAAAGATGCCATGGTCAAGAACCACGAGCTGTTTGTACGACAAATATTCGTCTAATGTATCATTCGTGTTATGTTTATATTGGTTTAATGATTTGCAATTGTCTTGCATGATAAAATATCTTAAAGAGGAACGAGCCTTATAGTAGACGCATATGACATATCACATCTGAAGGTCAATTCTCGTAATAAAAATTCGTTCAAAATTCAGTTCCAATCTACCTTCGATCTCACAAATGACATGGAATTTGAAATTAAACTAACAATTTTTGTTATTAGTCCACTATGGAAATACGAGTATAACCAGTTAAGAAGGCTAGTAACATCTTTTCCATATTAGCGATGATTAAAGATACCATATCCACGGAACAAAACATTCAAAATTCACAACAATTGAATTTTTGAACTCAGCTAAAACACCAATAACTGTTTATTAGGGAGCCGTAAGTATTCTCGTACACTTGGCTATAAATACTTCCTCCAATGTAATTGTATTGTAGTGGCGATGGACTCAATCAGATAATTGGTTTATTACATGTATCTCACTTCCTTCGTCTTCTACAGTCAGTGCTGAAGACATCCTGGTGTCTTTACACGACCACCCAAAAAGGAGTATAAAGTATTAAACTTCTTCTTTTTATGACTTTCTCTATTCCATCATAACTTTGACTCAACGGACTATAATAAAAAAGTAATGAAATAATTATATTTTCGCAGATTATTAATTTTTTACTCATACACTTAAACAACCAGCTGGTGTGGCCTTATCCTGTAGTGTATGACCCCATCATATACACAGGCACATAAAAACTCACGTCTTTTATCCCCGAAGGGGTATGTCTCTGGCGTTCTAAATGCCCACATTTTACCTATAATTTTAGTCCCATTTACACAACACACAACAACTTTAGCTGTAAGTTTTACAGATTATATCATATTTACAACTTAAGTGAAGAATAATCAGTGACAGGTGGGACGATTAGCGTACGACGTAACCAAACCGGGTCGCGTGGAGATGAGACGGGTTTTATCTGTTTCAAAAAGGGTATCCATGTGTGGATGGTCATTGACCCGTTAAACTGGTGACTAATTGTGGCAGAACTATAGATGCACCCCCCCGCCACTTAAGGCGTAAAATTTAACAAAATTTTGGATTTTGTATAAATCTGTTTAATCTATACAAAAAATAAAATGGAAGTATCTGTAATGTCTGTGATCATTGTAATGTCAAAATAATTGTTTTTTTTTATGCTTACACGGTTATTTGCACGATACCTATGCCTAAAAACCAGTTTAAATATTTTTTGTCTGTCTGTCTGTCTGTTCCGGATAATCTTCAAAACGGCAAGACCGATTTTGATAATATTTTACTACCAAGTAGCTATCTATATAAGGAGCAACTTAGGCTATTTTTCTGTCAGAAAAACCCTATAAAATTTTGCCTGGTCCCTGAATTCAAGTCAGTAAGGCAGCGCTTTTCAAATTCCACGTGAAAGAAGTCGCGGGCGCCAGCTAGTTTTAAAATAAAGCCACACCGATGCCCCCTGTTAAGAATTACTCAGATCAGACAACAAGTAAAATGACATAATTTTTTTATAGAGAAGCACGAAAATTAGAAGGGTAGTAATTAACGTTCTTCTATAAATACAGTTACCCATCTAGTCTTGGACTTTTGTCTTATGATAGATGTTATAATTTGTATATAAATTTGAATATGAGGTTCTTACGTTTTGCACGACTATTTACTCAACAAATCACCATGCAATTTTCCGTACACGATATCAGTGGAGCACGTTTTGAAACTTAAACTTTTAGCCCGTGGTTCGGTCTGTCAGAATTTTTATTAACGCACAAGTGACGCCGCGGGCAAAGTTACTTTATGTATTCAATTACTCAAATTGTAAAATATAAAATAGCGATTTCCTCTCCGGCAGTACCTTGACCATCTTAGAAGCTCAAGGTAGACTCAACAAGGCCAGACATTTTTCTGCAGTATTGACATTTATAATACAATAACTTGTGTTAAGATTCTAGTTTCTCTACTTGTGACATTGCAGCTCTACCATCGTATCGGTGCATATATTTCTCTTAACA